GAATAAGAATAGTATTAATAATGAAATAATAAAGGCTAAATGGGATAAGGTAGCACAAAAATCTCACAAAATTAATTTTCTTCACTATATTTATAAAAGGTAATAATTTGAGATTCTTTCTATTAGTTATTAAAAATAATTTGCATTAAATCATTGTTATGTTTTTTTTTTTAAATTTTTTTATAAGGCTGTCATTCGTTATAGTATTTCTTCAATCCCATCTCTAAATTCTCTCTTTGAAATTTTTGTTTTTTCAATAATTAAGTTTAGAATTAATTTCTTATCAAATTTGTTTTCTTGATCCTTATTTTATTAAAGGATCGAGACGAATAAAACTTTCATATAATATATGAAATTAATGAATATAATACAAAGATGATAGGGAAGTATTACATATTTGTCAATATCTCTATATTATTATTAGTTGATTTGCTAGATTATACTATCACTTTAGAGCCCACATGATTCAATTCAATATTCATGACTCTATTTGTAATTGACCATTTTTTCGTTGAGTAACCGATATGATTTTTTTTTTGATACATAATGATTAAAGCTATTATATGTTATATTTTTTCAAATACAATTCAACTAATTTTTTATCATTTTTTTATAAATAAAATGGATTAAAACTATTCTCTTATATAATTTTTACAATACTATGACATTCTTATCTTGATTAATTTTTATAAATGATGTAGAAACTATGCAAGTATTATTCAAACTATGGAGAATAATTTATACTTTGATATGATATGGGTGTGTCATTGATAGAGGAAATCAAAAATAGAGAGTTGCTAATATAATCAATTAATGATTTGTTTGAGAAGTTCTTCTTATAAACAAGGCAACAAACTTAGATTAAATTTTTTTAAAAACTACTTATAAATTATAATTAAAAGTTGATATTTATTCATAATTTGATCCCACAATGATAATATACACCACTGATTTAAAAGTCCAAGTAAATTTATATATATAGTATAGATGTTATCAAGTGATTGTGATACTATTATTCTCAACAATTTTTATAATTAATAATTTCTTATGCATATCAAATTTTATTGTAAAATTTTGTGCGTTAATTATTGTTAACATCTACCTAAATGGCTTAATATTATGGCTTGTCACTATTAAGATATAATTTAAGATTAAGATGATTTATTTATCACACAAAATATATATATTCTATTTTTTCGTGCATCGCACGGGTTACCGCTAGTAGTTTCATATGAGGTTGTTAGAACCTATTTTTCCGACCACCGTTGAGATTATATGATCAAAAAGTCCTACATGGTCCTAATCAAATGCAATAAACGTCTTCACAAATGACTTGTAAAATACGGATTAGCTGAAATTTCCTTTTTAACATTATATGATCCAAAAGTCCTGCATGACCTAATCAAATGCAAGAAAATAAAACTTCACGAATGATTTGTAAAATACAGTTTAGCCGAAATTTCCCAGTTTTCAAACAGATGATAATGACTCAATAACGCGTTTATTGACTCCTTCGTTAGCGTTCTTATTAATCAAAATTTTTGAATGAGATTAAAATTATAGGGTAGGTTTCATTGAAATTAAACAATCTGTGGACCCAACTGCTCTGGCTGGCGAGTTGACTATGCCGACCAATCACCCATCGTCACATGTAATAACTAAAATTCAAAATCAAGAAACATTTGGAGAGTTAACATCTAATGTTAACTACCCAGATCAAGACATCAATTCAATACTTCTATAAAATGTCACAATCCCCTATAGACATAATTCATCAGCAGTCTTCTTTTCTATATACCCTTGCAAAATGGCAACTGGAAGGCTTTCTTTGGCTCCAATTGCCTCGGTTTGTGTGATCTTTTTCGCAGTGCTAGTATTGGCAGGCTTGTCCGAGGGGGCCCAGTCGCCCACAATGGCCCCCGCTCCTTCGCCTCATAGCGGTGGAGGTGGAGGTGGCGGAAGCAGCCCCTCTGCTGCTGGTGCTTTTGCCCCTCATTTGTTCGTGTCAATGCTATTCGCTTCCTTAGCCTTCATAGTACCCTCTTGTGCCGCTTTGTTCTACTAGTTTTTTTGTTCTTTGTTCTTTATTTTTTGTTTTTTTATTTTTATTTTGCATTCTGTTGTTTATATTGTGCCTGCCTTTGTCATTTGTGTTCTGTCGTGTATGAGGTCAGGGGTTGGTGCTGTGGGAGTCATGGTATTGATTGGATTTTTCTTGGTTCGATATGATTGTTTTGTTTCATAAATAAATTTTGTTGCAGTTTCTATATATTTGTGGAATAGATTTAGTGTTGTTTTCTGTTCTCATCTCATCAATACTCTTATTCCTTCTGAATTCCCTCAACTTATTGCAGTTTCTATATATCACGAAATATAGATTTAGTAAAATATTGAATGGTATTTCATCTTAGCCTTCATAGTACCCTCTTGTGCCGCTTTGTTCTACTAGTTTTTTTGTTCTTTGTTCTTTATTTTTTGTTTTTTTATTTTTATTTTGCATTCTGTTGTTTATATTGTGCCTGCCTTTGTCATTTGTGTTCTGTCGTGTATGAGGTCAGGGGTTGGTGCTGTGGGAGTCATGGTATTGATTGGATTTTTCTTGGTTCGATCCGATGATTGTTTTGTTTCATAAATAAATTTTGTTGCAGTTTCTATATATTTGTGGAATAGATTTAGTGTTGTTTTCTGTTCTCATCTCATCAGTACTCTTATTCCTTCTGAATTCCCTCAACTTATTGCAGTTTCTATATATCACGAAATATAGATTTAGTAAAATATTGAATGGTATTTCATAACAGTACTTTCAATGGAAATTTTTCCAACAAAGAAAAACTCGAGAGATTCGATCAATTGACAATTACAAGTATAAAGAACAATTTTCTGGCAGTTAAGACATATAAGGTTCATACTTTTTGGAATCAATTCAATTTGAATTTGAAGAAATGTCACTTATAATAAATGAAATATTATTGCTCTTAACTGTGAATACAACTGCCAGTTACATAGTAGCGAAATTTTATGGTTGCAGTGTTGTGAAACAAAGTTCCATGGTGACTCTCCACTATTCTGATCCAGCACAACTATGACCCTTCTTCTCAAGGGAGCTCGACAACAATCCCTCATTTGTTTTGCAAGGTCACTAAGACTGTGTTGGATCATGGATTAGAGATTTAAAATGGTAAAGAGAAAATGTAGGTAAAATGAAACTATGTTTTATGTGTATTTCACCCATTTTTTTTCATTTCCTTTTACAAATCTTTATCTAAATTCATAATCCAAACACAAGCTAAGAGTATGATCTAGAGAACAAGAACCTCATTGACAAGGTGCTTTGAACTCTTGTAGTTTCAAAATTTGAGCATTGGACTTTGCTTGCTATAAATTGGTTGAGAAAGAGTTGGGATCCTTTATTTCAAAAAGGAAAATATTATGGACCCCAAATGATTTATCAAATTTTTTATCAAATTTCTTACATGAGTGTGAGACCCACACAAACTCACATGTGTGTGGATCCCACACCCATGTGAGAGTTTTGATAAAAAAATTTGGTAAATCATTTGGGGTCTCTGGCATAACCCTTTCAAAAAACACTCACAATCATACTCTAATACTTTTAAAATAAAAAATAAAATTATATGATTGTGAGTGCATAAAACAAAAGAACATACACCTTTTTAATAGAGGATCTAGTATTACTTGAAATAATTTTGTTTATCCATCTTTTATTACCCATCTCTCTTATTGGCTTAGCTACTAACATTACCAATAAGGGAGGTGGGTAATATTTGCTCATTATAAAGATGAGTGAACAAAATCAACCTCGGGTGACAAGATCAAATCAGTGTTGAGTAATGAGTTGGCAAAGTTGGAGGGTCATATCCATAAGCACCTCCCAAGATCACCCACATGAATTCATGTACTCCCTCAAAAGTGCTTCCAATATTGAGAGGTGTAAAAAAGCCAATAAGAGAGACTCCAATGCATTAAATTAAAGAGAAATTTAATGCTTTTTTCAGAACTCAAAAATGACTTTTTACCATCCTCCACTGTGAGGTCCCTCCCAATGTCATCTTATAAGGGAAGGGAAGGCAAACATTGTTTGAGGATAATAAAAAATATTTATCATGCTATTACTAGGTAATGGAAGATTTATACATGGATATTCTTGTTCTAAGTGACCCTTTTTCTGCTGAAACTAACTATGGAGATTCTTGTTCTAAGTGTCACTTTTTCTGCTGAAACAAACTATGAAAAACTCATGCCTATGGAAAAAAGATAACATAGTTCGGTGATTCCTAGGCAATGGAGAATGTACAACCCCTGACCATAAGGCTCCGTTTGGATCAAACATAACCTACAAGATTAACAACACAACACAAGTTGATGTCGCTGTGTAATTGTTTTCAACACAGCCAAGGCTTAGTAGTCTCTCTCTGAGTCTTCGTTGATTCCTTTTTTGACATTTGTGCTGCCTTTTGTTTGCTTTGTTTCGATCACTACCTCCAGCCAACATATAAGAGAGAAATAGAGAGGAAATAAACAATCCTCGTTTTAAGAAACATCAAAAATTGTTTTCAAAATTTTCACAACAAATGAAAATAATGAGTGTTTCTAAACTCTTTTTTTTTCTTTTTTTTTTTCCCGAAAACACAAAATATAATGACTGAAAGCAAAAAAATGAAGAAAATGAAAACACTACCAAACAGGAACAAAGATTTTGTTCAAATCTGCCTTTTGAAGCTTTGCAGGAGCTCCTGAGAGTTCCACTATAGCCTCAAGAAATAGTCTCATCCGAAATTGTACAGCACAACTCTTTTGACAACTAATTCAAAACAAAAAAAATATTACAAATCATCATCAGAGGTTAACCATAGCAGTGAAGATCATGCACAACTTCAGAACTCAAACCTAATTTTATCTCTCCTTCTCAAGCACAACGAGGCTTCCATACAAGAAGATTTTAATCAAACTTACGACTCTGGCCGGAAGGCCTATTTCAGGATCTCAGATCAAATTCACTCGAAAACATTTTTACTGCTTTGTTTTTAGAACAAAGAATTTTTGTCACATCAAAAAAATTATACAGTTATATTGGAAATCGCTCAATCACCCCTTTTTCCCAGATAAAGGAAAACATAAAATCGTACAAAGTTGCCCAAGCTATAGAGAATTGGAACAAGCTGAGCTTTCTATCATCGGTAAAATGGCCCTACGACTAGGTTCACAAACTCTCTCTCTCTCTTTCTCTCTCTCTCTCCACGCGTCTTTACAAATTTGAACTGCAAAACCGGGGTGGCTGAAGCCATATCCATGTTACATCTCACTATTATCAGGAAACAACATATCATTGTACAACAGGACTGGTTCAAAAAATTTAATTAGGTTTGGTGTTTTCAGACAAGCCCCTGTCAGTGCCTGTGAGAATGTTTTCGGCTGCTAAAATATGATTCACCCTTCTCCCTATTCCTTCTCTGTATTATCCTGAAAGTGAAGGAAATAACACCAATTGCCGCCATGGCATAAAATGCTCTGTAAGGAGCTAAGGCCAATCCAGAAAGATAGGAATAGTATCCAGCAAGCAGATAGGTGAAGGTCAGTTTTACTTCCCAACCACGGATTCCCAGCAAGGGAAACGAGAAGAAATAAAGTTCTGGCTTCGAATCACAAATACCATGGAGGATGACACCAATACAAAGAGCTGAATCCACTAACCATGGAAGGCTCTGATCCATACCTATTCTCTGCAAACACAAAAATCTGTTATGAATGCCTTGTAGATGCTAAATGTATTAAGAATTTAGGAGAAAACATATATCCAGAAGCTTCCGAAGACATGGCAAGGGCGCAACCAAGTTGATTAATGTATTTTTCTTAAAGTTTGAGCATATAAAAAAAATAAATTAAATTAAATGAGTTTCTGCACGGAACTTCATTTGATTGCTAGAAAATGAGAATATGTTTAAAACATTCCATATGACAATAGAGTGGTGATTCATCCCACTAATTTTTGGACCACTAATAGCTCTAATGAGCTTAAAAAAAAAAAAAAAAACAAACAAACTCAAGCCAAAACATCACATCACTTTGGTGGGGGCCACAGTGCCACATCATTAGTGATGCTCTAGAGCTCCCAATTTAGTGCTCTAAAACATAATCTGAGTGTCAAAGTGAATGTTAATTAAGACAGGAATTTCAATGCATATTATTTCCTCTATTTTATTTTCATTTTCTATTTTTTTTATTTAATCTTTTTTGCTTTTTTTCCTTTTTCTTTAAGACCAAGTTGTGTATGCTAGCAGTTTACAGGAGTGGTAATGGCAGCTTGTGATTCTTGTGATTTGCTACAGTAACAGTACTACAACAAATCACAATGATGAATTTCTATAATAGACACTCAGGAATCATGAGGGCCCAAATACTGCAGAATTCACATTACAGATGAGGAATATTAACATCATCCATACCTGCAACCAGGCCACAAGTGAAGGGACAAACATGAGTGTTGCAAGAAAATGCAAGATAAGCAAGCCATGCCGATAGTGGAACGTCTCTAATTGGGTTTCACCGAAGCTTCTTGCAGAGTTTGGACTGCTTGTCAAACAACTATCATCCAATGGGAGATGCTGGTCGAACCCATCACCATGTCTAAGAGCAAATTGCTCAGACATGTTGTCACCTTCATTTTGGGAGTCAGATGATTCCTTGCTTCGGGCATGGCTGCGAAAGGAAGCCGACAAAAAACTGTTACAGAAACAAGGAGTAACTTTTAGAATTGCCAAGAGTCACCTTGACATAAATTACATACTATAAACCATTGAACGTTATTATACACCAATTATAATAATAGAGAAAACAAATTAGAAATCGATATGAAATGAATATATTTCACATGAAAATAGACAACCATATTGAAATTGAAACTTTAATGTATTGCAAACAGCTACCACTCAAATGTATCTTCGATGTCCTAATAGTGAGAGATTGAAGAAGAAAACTAATAAATCTACCAAGTGCATGCCATTGCATATTGCATACGTCACTTGTCAAATACTGACACTTGTCCTACTTAAAGTTATCCTTGTGGCAGTGAAATGTTGGCATTTCTGCATTAGTACCAAATCAATCACCACAATCTACTCATATTTCAAAAGGCAACAAAGGAACAACTTAAATTTTTTAATGATGCCCAAGACTATTCACTTAATCTAAAGCATCACTTTCCAGACTCTCTCTACCTCCCTGCAGGAGATGCATTCATCAAACTGCATATAATCTACGATTTCAAAGAAATTCATAGATTGTCATCTATGAAAAGTTTTTAATTTCACAGGAGCAAAACATCTGTCGGAGGAAGAAAACATACAGACCAGTGACATAAAACATGTTCCCAACAAATTCGATAAGGTAAGTTGACAACTGCTTCTCTCATTCATGCACATGATACCATTAACGACACTAATGAATAAACCGAGTGTAATGAGTCCAATTTCTGCATCCCTAGGAAAGGCAAAGAAGGTAAATGAACCAGAAAGGCCTTACACTTATGCATATATTCAACTAATTTTAAACTAGGAGAACAGCTTTCATATATCTAGCAGTTTTCCCTTGTTTAGGAGGAAGGGTTGGGGGGAGGAGATAAAATTTCAAATGCAAAAGGTAATTATCAATTGAAAGTTTGGTCTTGGTCAAAAGCGAGCAACTATTGCATTCCTGATGATCAAGAAACCACAATGAAGGTGGTTGTGTTTGAAGTCCCTTATTGCATTCCTGATGATCAAGAAACCACAATGAAGGTGGTTGTGTTTGAAGTCCCTGAACTACTTATGCATGTTCTGTTTTGATAGATAATATGGGAATTTTGGCATTTAACTTGCTTTGCCATTGTGTGCATGCATGTTTGTGTGTAGTGTGTTTTTTAAAGCTAGGAAGAGTAACATACTGAATAAATAAAAAAATGTGTACAAGCCAAAAAGAGAATATAAAAAATCCAAGAATACATTTGAAAAACAATGAACAATGAGCATCAAGCAATTTATTCAGCCATTCATGCTTCCAAACAATAAGATAACGAGAAAAAGGGGTATCACTTTGGACTAGTACCTGGATAATGCACGGTGACAGCTCAATGCATGAGATAAGAGTAATATAAACATACCCAGAGCTGGATGAACAAAGCATACCAAGGTAAATGCAACCAGTGCAGTAACAAGTAATGGGTTCACCCTTAAAACCCTTACCACCTGTTCCATGAACAAGCCAGGTCAAAAAAAAAGAAAGAAAATAGAAAAAATAGGGAGAAGTAGAGACCAAGGCTGTAATAGAGTTAATACAACCAATAACTATAAATGTTGAAGGAAACTTGAGAACAGACATCTATACTAGCCTAATTATACAACACTGAGCTAGAAGCAGATAAGTGTGTTATAAATAGGAACTTACCTTGAATGATAAAAAACTGGAAGAAATATTGAGGAACCAATGAGAGAACCCAAAACAAAAGTTTCCTTCCCACAATTGCCACCTGTAAAATATTGTCTCATCTTAGTTGACAAGAAGACGTACTTCAACATTCGTACAATCCAAACTAGCAAAGCATCACCCATACAAATGAAAAAAGATGGCAAAAGACATTTTTGTCATTCTACTATCAAAATTGTATCAAAATAACAGTAATAAACCCACAAGAGAGCACTAACCGTGTCTTGATGAAAACATGTACAACTGCAGCCACATAGAAAACCAATTGGGTGATCAATATCAAAAGGATTACGGACCCATTTGCAAATAAATAGCAAACTATTGAGACAAGGATGAAGCTTACAAATGGAGAAAATGGTTCGGATGCTAGAAAGGAAAGGAATGAGGCAATGAAAAGGGGTACAATGGCTAGGGCAAAAAATGGCAATGGCATTCTCAAATTGGATTCTACAGCTGACAACATTGAAGGTATAGGTAAATCAAGCTCCCACGCATGTGTCTGCTGCATTAAAGCAAAAAAGACGATGGCAATGGAGAAACCAACAATCTGCATAAATCAGTCCCATAAAATGAATAATAAAAATTGATAAGCTCTAGCATCATGTCCAATGACATCAAGAAAATTCAGCCACATTTCGAAAAAGCTAACAACTGAGAAGTATTCATATGCATATACCAATCAATAAGTTCAGCACTAATCTGTAACATATAAACTAACATAACTAAACACCATAAGGAAGAATGTTTATATAAAATGCACAACCCTGACCATATAATTAGTGCTTCAGCCTTCACAGATGGATGTAAATGTGCAGAAAAGAATGCCATGCATCCATTTTGAGAACTGTACTATGATTGAGAAGTTTGGAGAAGTTTATTAGTTTGATTTACATTTAGGAAACATCAGGTACACTCTTGTTGCAGCTATAGATTGCAGAAAGCTTGAGAAATGGAGACCAACTATGGATGTGCGTGCGCAACAGAACTCAAGAATTCCACTAAGCACTCCATTTTTCTCAGACTCTGCAATTGATTCCTTTCTACAAGATGTGATGCCAAATCAGAGGTTACAAGTTAAATAGTTCTTAGATATTGCATCCTTAAAACATTATGTTTTCATGTTTATCGGTTTTTTGAAGAGAAATTTCCTGATTATCAGGTGATTGTGCTATAGAAATATTTTACTGTACAGTTTGTATTAAAAACAGAAAACAATAACTTCATATTGTTGCACCTAATTGGAAATACTAAAAAATTCAGCTAAGCAAGAGGTAAAACAGTGATTGTAACTCATTCCTTAAACTCTTTGCCAAATGTTCGCTAAGTTAATGCCTTTTGGCTTCATGCCGATAGTGTAGACAGGAAGATCATACTTCTGAAACATGAGATTTGCAAACATCACACAGCATGAGAATTAATATGAACAGTAATGTTTTATGTATAGAACACAACTGTTGATGCAATACATGAAAAAGTGTGATGCAATCCATAGTGCCAAATGCATAACAGATTCAAATAAGCGAACTTAATGCTGAAAATGCAGTTAACATATTAGGGCTGTTGAAATCTTCACCTCTGAACCGTACAAAAGCAAAAATCTTTTGGCTGCAGCAGTGATAGGGACAGCCACACTCGCTTTATATGAACAATGTGGATCCACCTGCACATAACGCAGAAATCAAAACCTTTAATTTTAAGGTTGGAGAATTAGAACCACAAATTGTATTAATCCAATATTGTATGGTTATTACAAGACAGGAAACTTATTAAACATTAGATGACAATACCAGTAACAAAACGGTAGTCTTCTCGGACCCCTGAGTTGAACTCCAGAGTGCTGGTGAAGAATCCACCATAACTGTCTCAGAATACAAATTTGGAAATATGTGAAGACCAGATGTAGCATCCCAAGCAAGGGCTACAGGTGGAAAACAGCGCAGTTTGCAAAGTCCTGCTACCAGGAAAGAGCTACCCTTAGCAGAAATAGAAAACAAAAACCTGATCAAAAGAAATGGAAAAAAAAAAAAAAACTCTGATAGTAAGGAAATCCAGAGATCATAATTTTTTAAGCTAAACATTGAAAAGAAGAATAATGATGCCCCAACTGTCCAAATTTAAATCAAACCAAAGAAGATATGCAATATTCAAAATACCAAAAGAACCCGAACCTTCAGTGGTTTTTAGATTCATACTAGTAAGTCCAAATCCTATCATTTAAGAAACTGCCATCAACTGACAGGTTTATTATTGTGTCAATGTTAAGGTTAAAACACCTAAGTAAAACTCTGACCACTCAACAAATGGAAAATTCATATTTAAATTGTAAGTTCAGAAAACCATCTTTTCCATGTTTTCAACTCTCCACAAGAGGACGATGTTGTCAGGGTATGAAAACCTGACAATCAGAAAAGCCTTTTTTTTTTTTTTTTATAAGTAAAATTTCAATTAAGAGACAAAAGAAGGGGCTGCAACCCAACTATGCGCAAATTATACAAGATCATCAACTACAGGAAAACCTTAATGAGGTTGCTTATGTTCATTATAATCCACAAATTAATACATATATATATAATCCATGTCCGAAATCAGGTTGACTTCATGGAAATAAATACATAAAGAAAGCCTTACTGCCATTCTCCAGATCTCCAGCCTCTTCAACGGGGAGTACAGATTTTTTTATTCCACATCCTGTAGTTTCCAGAGATAGTTTAACAGGAAAAAGACCTAAGCTAATAGCAAATGACATGTTGAAAGCAAGAGGATGGTCCTCCTTCAATATTATGTCCTGTGCAAAATTTAAGTAATGAAGCCATCAGTAGATGAATAAAACTATATAATCCAGATTAAATCACACACCTAGAAGCTGCTTTATGGAAGTACTGACCTTCGGAGAATAAGTTGAGAGAAGCAACAACTGAGGAGACAACTCTAATTCCCCATCTTTTGGACTAAAGAATTGTCCAACTGCCATGGAAGCAGCAGGTGGAGGCCTTCCTGAAACAGTCTGAGAGCCCAAAAGTCATAATGCATACATTCTCAACTTAAACCTCTTTCAAAAGTAACTAAGAAATGCTTATCACATTCAACAAGAGCAGAAGTAACATTCAAAAGATACCGCAGATACATAGGATATAAAATCTGTATGATCAACAGAGTATCACAATATAACATGCATACAGGATGAGAAAATGAGAGACTCCAACAAAGATTAACGCATAATGAGAATATTATCATACTAGAAAATAGAAATTCATTTAGCAACATGGAAAAAAAAAGAAAAGAAAGATAAAAAGAAACAACAACAACAACAACAACAACACAGCCACTCAAAGCAAAACTTGTGTATAAAAGGCTTTATTGAGGCTGGACATGGACTCCAGGCAAGGTTAATGCAAACAGCATCAATGCTTTGATTTTTAGGCAACACTCCAAAAAGATATTCAAACATAAGGAAGGGCACAATAAACAAGATATTCAAACATAAAACAAAAGGGGGAAAAGAAAAATTAGAAATAAAAACATCAGTGCATCTCCAGTCTTTAAGAAAGTGGCTCTGACACTATTAAAGATCTCATGTTTTTCCAATGGCAATTGCATTAGCAATATTAAAGAGAAAGTCATGCTACAAACAATGTTTTTCAAATAATATGCATTGCCCTGATTTCTGAGATTGCTTTGGAAAATTAACTACGGTGAATTTATGCCAGAATTTTTCTGATATAAACAAAAACAAGCAGCCAAAAGGTTTCACAAAACCTGCTGATGCATATATACTTGTGGTACTATGAAATGGAGAGCACACGTGAGACAACAGACGAAATTAAAGAAACAATACCGGACTAGGTGCAACTGAGATGGTCAAGAATCTGAAACCATGCATATCACCAGGAGCCAACAAAAATACAGCTGATGGAGGAGCTTGCTCAGTCTGACTACCTGGTTCAATCTAGAAAACAAAAACAAAAAAATCAGCTGCAATAGCATGTCAAACAAACCAACTTACTAAAATCTGCTACTCTAACCACACTCAGATAGCAATTCAGATTCACAACTTCACAAATAAGTGTAAATTTCTCTTATTTGTCTTTTTTAATCAGTGTAAATTCATGTTATTTTACATTGATAATCACTTCCACTGGAGCTGACACAAACAACATGAAACTAACCTACACAAGAATTAAGCACTCCCATAGAGTGGATTGGATATCATAAGTACAACATTTTGTACCTGCCTTGGTGCTGGTCCTGATGGAATGTGCACCATTTTTTGTGTCACTTCTAGAACCCTTTTACCAACAGGCAAGTCTGATGCTGATTTTCCTTTCTCAGGCCAAAGATGTAATCTAATCCCAGAACATGGGACAAGATTTGTAACAAGTACAAAGTGGCCTTTTCCATTGGACCCCTAATCATTCAAATTAAACTGTGAGCTGTACAATCTTGGCTTGGAAATTCATAAATAAAAGCAAAGTAGCAAAGAAATAATGCACAACAAACCAACACCTAAAACGATGCCAAAAGGAACCTGGACAGGTATCGTTTCAAAAACCTTGAACTTATTATGAATTGTCATGAATATATTCCATTTCCAAAAAGATGAAATTTATCCTGAAGCTAAGTTCAAAATCTTGTAGATGTAAATTCAGTGAGCAAGTTCAACCCACACCGTTGTCTCAAACTTTGCCCGAAAGCTTGAGCCATGAAAGGAACAGGGAATACGATTAAAGAAGCTCTTAAAAACAGTTGAACATCTAACCTAAGAAAAAGATTAAAAATAAGTGAATTGAGTTTCTGTAATTTTAAACCACAAAATAACAACTTTGACCAAGCTCACCAGTTTCTCAATGTCTAACCACCGCCTTCTACCATCCATCGCTAAAACAGTGACAGTAGATGTCTGAATATATAGGTCCCTTTCAAGGCCATCATCAGTCCAACGAACATTACTGGGACAAGCAGACAGTGTATGCCCTTGAGATCCTGCAAGTATCACAACTTAAATTGTTATCTTCTCTAAACTTTGTAGTTCCCAATATTTAAAAGGAAGGAGGAGGAATAGAAAACAAACAACTTCATGTCCACAAAAATAGAAATGACCCATAAAAAATTCCATAAAATTACAATGTAGTTGACAAGTTAATATTGAGGTAGAACCAAGAGTTCTGCTATAACTCTTGACCTCCACGCGATGATTATTTGTCACGACACAACAGATTTCACATTCTGTTGGGATATGTTCATCATTTTATAAAAAATAAATTAAAATACAAGATTGTTCAAAGGATTTTCCAGTATGCCCAAGGATTTTTACCTTCATGATAGATAAAAGGAAGAATATTACAACCAATCTATTTGATTTAACATTAAAAGTTACACCTCTGAAATCCTAATAACTTTTCTCCCACAATCGACTCACATCATTAGCATTCTGTGCAGAGATCCAGCATTTTCCTCCATTGGAGTCGCCACTAAGAATGAACATCTCCGAAGAATTTGGTCTAGTGCACCCTAGCCAAGCCCCATGAAACCAATCATCATCATGTGCTAAAGAGTTTTTGCCATGAAATCTTACTCATTACCTTAATTTCTTATTTTATTTTAAGTATGATAAAACAATTTCCACATATTTGTACTAACATATCAAAGGAGACTATTTATTTGGTCATCAATTTCTGGAATCATAATATGAGATAAATTAGAAGTGAATATTCCAGTAATTAAAGAGCCAGAAAAATCAACAGAATTGGGTCAAATTCAGGCAAGTAAAAATGGAAGATTGTTATTTCTTGTATATACATTAGTAGTTATGCCATAGTCAAAACCGCACAACAGAGTTTTTTCTGCTAAGCAAGAACTTAAAACCCAACATCAAATTCAATATTTATGGTAAAGCAGGTTGCAAATTGATGCAACTTACTGAAAACCTTAAAATGAAAAGCATAACATAGACTAGCATGCATGGTTAAAGAAAAGCCAAAATTCCCCTAGGCTCCAAAATTCCAAGCTTGATGAACTATGAATTCCAAGACACCATAAAAAAAATGTCTTCAGCAAGCTTGCTGTTATCATTCAAAAGATAATTAAGCATACAACATAGAAAAGACATTAGCTTTTTTCTGCATAGAAAGATAGTGGAAATTGATGGTACCAGTAATTTTTTTTCCATTTTGAACGGGATCATGGGTTGCCTGCTGAGGTAATAGTGATTGTCTCAACCAATTAGAACTCAGTGGCATCCCACTATGAAGCATCTTTGTGAATGCTGCAAGTCTTTTTTGTGTATCAGAAAATGGTTGACCTGCTTCAGGGTCTATCAGACTGAGTAAAGTGTGGGACACCTGAGATAAGAACATAGAACTCAGAATTGTCTATGATGGAATTTAAAATGGGTTCTAAAGAAATTCTACTCACCTGCACTACAAGTTGATTACACCACAAAATAACCTGGTGTTCCATTGACAACCACACATTTTTCATGGCTGTACTGCTAATCAAAAAACCATGGCTAGGAGGCACTATACCATCAAGAGATTCTAACTTTGTCCTCACCTAATATCAGAAAGCAAAAAAGATGGTATCACCCACCAAGTCAAGTTAAATATGATTGATCACTCAAAAATAAAATAAAACAAACTTTTGAAGGAAAAAAAATATACTGACAACCAAAGGAAAAATCAAATATCCATTGATATCCAATCATGCAGCTAAACTCAGGTAAATTCACAGCTTTGCAGGAAAACACCAAAGAAACAAGAGAACAGACAGACAAACTTTACAGCAGAGGAGTCAACACATATCCACCTAGTTACCTTATGATAGTGTCCAGAGAAACAGCTGTGGCAACAAATTAAAGCAAAAGCCCTATATTAAAGCATATAAAAAAGAGTTGCATATCACTTGGGGTCTGGTAGTTTCTGTACAATCCTGCACTGGCTTGCATCATCAGGTTAGAGTTTTCCCATTCATTCTCTCCTGCTTCCTCTTGTAATTCTCTTTTCATATTTCATTCTTTTATTAGTTATGGCATTGTATCAAAGCAAAACTAATCTCTGAAGTCTTATATCTTCTTTTAATTAATACAGTGCATGTAGGTGGTTGTTTTGATACTTAAATTATGCATAAAAAATGAATAAAAAAATCTTCTACCATTCTATTTTAATTATTCAAAGAAAACCTTGCAAAATGTATTGATTACCTTGCAAAATGTATTGATTAATTGAATTTTCCATTTTTTTATTTCTCATTCATCCGACTGAGGTTCAGCACTCCTGTTTTCAAGTTCTGACAATGTAAAGCTCAATATCTTTAGTTATTTGACATGTCACAAAGATCTTATCTAGTTTGTTCAGTGTAAGAATTAAACTTAAATTCCATAGCATTTTGAAGAAGATAGACATTCGCCCCAACGGACTTAAGGCTTGGTTTGGTTTGGTTTAACTTTACATGTAACAAATTTGGAATAGTGTGTTCTTTGCAGGAGCAGATGGTTCTAAAAAGAAGCAGATTGTCAGATTTTAAATTTCAAATGATCGATGTCACCTATCCAGTAACAGGGAGGTCATCTTCTATCAACCAGATTTTCTACTATTAATTGTCAGCCCACATCTTAGTGGAACAAATTAGCTCTAGAATCTAGATTTCAATTGTGGACAAGTCAACCAGATAGTGGCCATAAAAAGTTCAAGAAAATAACCAGTAAATATGGAAAGTGTTACAATTCCAAGAGGCACTCACATGTGGTCTTTCGTACTCAAAAGTTTGAGCTTTGTAGTGTTATTTTATATTTATCACGAGTTCACTATGCTACAGGTCAGTTTTACAATATTTCATCAGCAGGGGGTTATTTCCATGCCCTCTGATTTTATAGTGGTCACTCATAGGTTATGACCATCTGGAATAGCCACGGAAAATCTAGAAACTAAAACCAAAAACTCTTCGTGCAAAACCTGCTTTATTGGTCTCAGCTTTCATGAACCATAGGAAGTTGTTTTTATTGGTAGCTTTTGGTAAAACCATATAAGCGTTTGGGTGTAAGCTTTTTTTAACTTACAAAATGAAAATTCTACCCTCTCTTTATGTCAATTCTTGTGGGAAGGTATTCAATAGTGTGCAAGTTGGACTAACAAAAAAATTGACTCTCCAATAACTAGTAATCAGAAAAAAAAATATATGTATTATTTGTCTATAATAGGCCATGGCACCACACATGCCTATTTTTGAGGTATTGTTTCCATTTGCACAAATACATATTATATATATTTACTATTTCCACTTTATTTTGTTACTTGTTAGCAGCTCCTTTTCTTATGAGTACAGTAATGCTTCTTCAAATTCATAGGTATTATATGCATGAGTTCATGTGTATTTGATTATTCTAATAAGATAAAGAGAAAACAATTACCTGGTAGTCATTAATACCACCAGAGATGGAGACAACAACAATATGAGAGAGTGGAGGATCAGACACATAGCGTCCACTTCGAGAAGTTTGGACCTCATACCCCTTTTTCCATTCCTGATTGACACGTGCATAATAATGACCCAAGGATGGCTGCAATGCCACAGGAGGTGACCTGGTAAAGTAACTCTCTTAATCTTAATCAACACATATAAAAAAGTAGCACAATAAAGCCATTGAATAAAATGACAAAGCTTACTGATGCGGGCTTGAAAGTGTGAGAATTGTTTCAACAGTTGACTTTCTTAAATGTGGGTGTATAATTGCAGCTCTAGCAACAAAACCACCCATAGAGTGACCCACCAATATCACACTTTTTGGCAGATTCCCAGACACAGCAGCTCCTTCTCTTACTCTAGCATCACGAGAATCTTTATATTGGTCCAGAATCTTTAAGAATAAACACATGATTAGTTTCAAGAAAAAAAAATAAGTGAAAATTAAATCAATTGAAAGCATTTGTAAGAATTAAGGGTATAAGAGAAGGTTAATTAAAAAATTGGTCATCTGCCAGTAAGAAAGATTCATTGAATACATGGATAGTCATGGATGATTCATTTATGTTGGATACAAACTCCAAATTGAATATGTGAGGCAAATGTCAAAAAGCTAGTACAGAGTTTCTTATGATTTAAAATCATTTTGAGAACTCCTTTTGAGCAGTAACAAAACCTTGTTGGGAAAGATTACGATTTTAAGTGCCTTCATATTGCATAACAAAGACTCTAGGCCATTTATTCTAATATGGTATACAATTCAACCTCCATATGTTATGCTGTACATATAAAACAATAAAATCGATACCCTGTGAATTGCATATACTACATATTCCGTGTGTTCTTCCAGTATCCGACCATCCATTGCAGAATGTTCACCTTCAAGATCCACGGCAAACCAGTCTAGCTTTGAAATATAATGGTTAGGTGAACCAAAGCCAGCTGCATCAATATTTACGCCTCCCTTTTTGAGAGTTAGGGAAGCTTCTTGGTAAAATGTACGCTCAAGTGGGCCTCCTTGATAAGCCCTATCAGATTCTGCTGCTAATGATCTTACCTATGAGACGGGCAAAAGAGCCACAAAAAAAAAAAAAAAGTGAGCAGGGGCAAACAATATGGACATTTTATGAACTCTTAATACATCATACATTATATCATCAAGGCACTAGTTTTTAGTATTAAGGTATTTTAGTAATTGATTAGTTAGGGCTACTTGTTTGGTTGTGAGTCTTTTATTTATCATCCTTGATTAGGATTAGTTAGGTCATCATTATATGACGAAAGCAAGTTATGTTTGTTGAAAATATTTAATTTTAGAATATCAAACATCAAACTCTGCAAACTAAAAATAGCTAGAAACACAAATCACATGAATAAATGTGACATATAAAAAAGGCTTGCCTGCTTGTAACTACCACCATTGCCAGGAATAAAGAGGACAGGAACGCCACTAAGCTTCTTAACGTGGTCATTAAAATCAATCTTCTTCCAACCTTCATGATACAAATACAACCCATACTTTGAGGATGATACATTTGCAGGAGAGGAGATCGGAATATATTGAGGGTACATGTATGTCATGACACAACCATTTGAAATTGGTTTTACCAAACCGTAAATAGCAGCAAGACCGATCCATATGGAAATAATAACCACGGCTGCTACCCTAATTTTAGCTTTGAAACCTTGCATTGTTGTACTAACTTCCATTCCACATCAACTTTTTCCCCTGAGATGGTCCAGTGCATGTGAAAAAGTTCAACGTTGATGAACAACCAAAAAAATTAGTAATACAAAGTCAGAATTGAAGAAATTTTAGCAATCATACACCACCAAAATATGTAAACAGTTGTATCATTTGTCCTAAAAGCTAAAGAAGATAAACATAATAGATTATTAAAATGCACAGAGAGAAACAGTGATAAGCATAATTAGATTAACCAAATTGCTGCAAGAGAGCACATAATTATAAGCATTCAAGCAAGAAACGTGAAAAAGCAAATTATAGAGAAGAATGAACCCAACCAGATTGATCAATTACAAGTAACAAGAAATCTTTAAATATACATTCGTATCTGCTCCGTTTGGTTAATGAGAAAAAGAAAATTTTGAATCTGGAATTCATCACAAAAACTGAAATCGATTGAGGGCAGGGCAGGGGAGGGCGAACTGATTTGTGAATCGGATCTGGATAATGAAGAAGAGAGGGAGGAAGAAGAAGGTCAAGTGGAGGCGTAAAGTTACCTGATCGGAGAGATCTGCCAGAGAGTGTTCGTAAGATTGAGCCTTCAACCAGAGACAGAGCAGGGACACACTACTATTGCTAGGAAGAAAGTAGTGAGTTGTATACTGGGAAAGTGATGATTATTATGTAGTCGGTCGGACTGGGATTTGGCCCGTTTGGGTGAGCACGTTGTTGTGTTCCGTTCGATCTTAAAATTTGGCGAGGGATTTATAAATGACAAAATAAAATCAAAGGAAAGTGTTAATTTCATATTTTAAATTGATAAATAAAATTACAAATTATATTATTTAGAATAATAATATTATAAATTTACATTTAAGACCCCAAATATACTTCAATAATGTGGTAAAAGAGGTTGGATACGTGACAAATTAACAATTAACGTCTATCATTATATATTATTATAAATGAAATTGTAGGGATTTTAATTTGAATGCCCAAAGTAAATAGGTCTTTTGGGATGTGGGTTATAATTCACTTCCCATATTATAACTCACTTCCCTCTCTCGCAAAAAGCTAATTATAACCATTTTCTCAAAATAGCTCAAAGTTTCCCAAATCTTAAGTAATGAAAAAGTTTCCCAAATCCTAAGCAAATAGGAATGAGCAGCGGATATTTCGATTTGTCCAAATCAATTGAACTGATCCGTCATATTTTGAACGGGTGCATGATAATAAACGGACGGTTACGAATTGATTTTTTCAATCCGTCTAGTTTTGGACGAATGCCAGATTTGAGATTACTTTGGCCGTAACCGAACAGCCAAACTACAAGCACCCCTAACAATTTGTAAGACTTTGTATCTTCAATTTATTTAGCTATTCTGTTTGTGTTTTCAATTGAAAAAAATTTAAATATTCTATTGTGTTTTTAATTTGGAAATTCTTTGATCAAATGACAAAAAGTATTTTTGTGTGGAAAATATAAGGGTTAGTTTTGTTGTTTTTTTTTTAAATCAAATTAAATAATTTTTTAATAAAAAAAATAATGAAATAATTTTGATAATGCATGATTTTCTTATATATATTTATTATTGGTATTTGATAATCTTTTGAATATGTTGAGTTGAATTGCTATTAAAAAAAAATAGTGACAAGTTGTTGTATTATGTTCAAAATTTATAAAAATTTAAAATGCTTAGCCGATTCGCATCTATCTATCAATCCGTTCAATCAACATTCTTTATTTTGATAAACTAATATGGATTAATTTTTTGCGAACACCACTGCTAAGCAATGAGTAATATGATGTGTTTTAAAATAGGGTTTTTTTTTTTTAAACTCCCTAATAATAACAATTTTCTGCATAAAGGACATTAAAAAATGTAATACTGTCTCAGGTCCCTAACCAAAATACCCGGGCATTTTATCAATTTCTTGGACCAAAATACCCTACGTCTGTTCATCTTCAGATGAGTTGATTTTTTTGACCTGTCTACTGGATATTCTCCTTTGTGATGCTGGTACTGGTGTTGGGTATTTTCCGGCGAGTACGAAAACAAATTCAGCAAAACAAAAGCACTAAGTCTAGTCAAGACAGTAAGCAATAGATTGTATATATATATATATATATATATATACAATCTGTTGCTTACTGTCTTGACTAGTATATATATGATAATTAATCAATTAAGACCATTTGCAACCATAATCAAACAGTCACTCTTGGTTATCTTATCTATGGTTGCAAACATATATATGTATATATGATACATACATATATATATATATATATATACAATGTCAGCATATATATATATATCTAGTGTTGAATATAACATCTTCAGGTTCAAAAAATTTATATATGTTGAATATAACGTCTTTTGATTTTTTGGGTCTAGTAGAATTGGAGTTGTTTCTGGAAAAGCAATATTTGGACCCCTACTTGAAGAATATTGGAAAAAGAAGCTTGAGGAAGAAGCAGCAGTACAGGAAGGCTTAAAGTGATCCAGAGAAATTTGAATTTTCTCTAGATTCAACCCAGAGAAATTCATACCATTAAGTTTAAAGAAAATTTATCACAAACTCATAGAAGAACTATTAATTTGTTTGTGCATGAAATTGTGATTGAATCAGCAGCAGCAAAACCAATGACAAATTGATCAAATCAGAGTTTTATCATTCCAGAGAAATTCTGGACCAGAGAAATTTTTCTCTGGGTTGAATCCAGAGAAATTCTTTGGAAGTCCAGAATTTCTTTGCTTCCAACTGATGATGGGTTGCTTTCCTTCCAACTGTCAAAATTGAACTGCTTTCTGTGCATTTGGGGCTTCTTATTGAAGCTTCTTATGTTCTTGTTTTTGTAAATTTCTCTGGCTTGCTACATTTGTGTTTCTCTATTGTGTAATTTTATCTGGCATGTTTATGTTTCTTCATTATTTTCTCAAGCAAATTATCTATGGCTTACTTCTCTATTGGTGTGGCTAATTTTCTCTGGCATTTATAATTTTCTCTCGCCAAATTACTTTTCTTACTTGTGTGTCTAATTTTCTCTGGTAGCATTTATAATTTTCTCTGGCCACACTATATTTATGTCTTGTGTCTAATTTTCTCTGGCATATTTATTTTGTTCAATGCTCCATTTCCTCAAAATTTCTCTGTTGTGTAATTTTCTCTGTCATGTTTATGTTGCTACCTTGTAATTTTCTCTATTGTGTAATTATTGCTACCTTGTAATTTTCTCTGGGATTTAATGTTTATGTTTTCATTCTATAGAAATAGCAAAGCGCAGAAGCAGCACAACCCCAGAAACCCCGAAAAAGAAACCAAAAGTCTCTGTGTCTGCGTCTTATGATCTTAGATCAAAACGCAGTAGCAGTTCCAGAACACCACAAAAAAAACAAGTCCAAGTTGAAGAAGCAATAAGCATCAAGATCAAGACACCAACTTCAAGGGTGATTTTCACTCAACTACAAACTTAACATTTTCTCTGTCATTTTCATTGGATTATAATAACAAACCTACGATTTTCTCTATACTACAAAGAAAAGTCCAGAAATATGAATAGTGCAAAAAAAAAAACACATTAACATCAAGAGACAAAAATATATTAAACACAAGCACATAAAAAAATCACAGAGAAGATCTGTTATGTTCACAAAACATTCAATTCAAAAAATTTAAAAAAAAAAAAACAAAACAAAACACTTACTACTCTATTGCTACATCTGTAAATTTCTCTGCCTACTTACAATTTTCTCTGTGATTTTCACTGCACTACAAGTTTACAATTTTCTCTGTGATTTGAGTTCAATTATAGTAACAAACCTGCAATTTTCTCTGCACTACACAAAAAATGCAAAGTGAACAAAAAACAGAGCACCAAAAAGCAACTCATAACCATGTTGACAGAGAATGAAAAGCAACTCCAAAAATCAAAATCAACTCCATCGAAAATTCATCAATAACAAATAATGAAAAATTAACTTCAAAATCAAAAACAACAACACTGAGTTCGTCTCTCTCACATTGATCAAAACTAAAAACAAAAACCTAATTCAACACCTACACGATCAAATCAAATCAAAAATTGAAAACTTATCTAATTCAACTCCACATGAAATCAAATAAAACACAATGAACCAGATCTCAACTCCTACACGATCGATCAACACCTACAAACAACAAACATGATTTCAACTCGTGCAGGATTTCAACACCTACAAACAACGAACAGGATTTCAACACCTACAAAAACCCTAGAAAATCTCTACAAAAATCTGAATCGTCAAGTTCATCCTCAAGTAATCTCCCACAAAATATCAATATGATCTTTAGCTGCCAAATTCAAAACAACGTATATTATAAACAAGGGTAAGACAAGTATTTTACACTCTAAAATAACATTGAGGGACCTTAGGCTACAAAAGAACACATTATGGACCTAATCCATTACTAAAAGTTGGATAGGATCCTTAAACCGATTTTCCCTTTAAAATAAGCAATTATGCCATGAAAATTGAAAATTTGTATAGAGAAAATTTGAGAGAATCCGGTCCAGTTTGGAGCCCGATGGGCCGGTGGCTGTCACATCTTAGAGCAATGGGCTTCCAATGGGCTCAATTTTTATTATTTTTTCATGACCGATAAAAACACAGATCAAAAAAATTTAGAAAAATTTAGAAGAAAAAGGAAAACTTAAAATTTGATTATTGTAACAAAATAAATAATGAACTTTTAATTTTATCAATTTAAACACTATAATTTTAATTTGTTTGCAATATAGATCATTTGTCTATTTTCATTAAACACTCAATTCATGGGCAACATTTCATCTTGATACACCTGATGGGTAAAAAAAATTTGTTAACAAGGGCATCCCAGCTTGGATTGGATTACTCAAAACATGATGTAAATTTATCTCACAAACTAAATCCTACTCCCAGACAAGTTCTCTATCTTACAAAAAGAGGCACAGCAATGGAGTAAATGGGAAAACTTTTTAACAATCTAGAACCCAACACATGGACGTGTTTCTGCATTTGCGATATATCTTCAATTCAATAAGAGAACTCGTGACCTCGAAGCGAGATATACTTCTTAACCCAGATAGCAATGTCCTCGGCACAGGCCTGGGCCTGAGGAGTCTTAAGAAGCATGTCAAGGGTTGCAAATTCGTGAACAGCATCTTTGTACTCAAGAACAGGTGCATCAACATTTACCTTCCGGAGCTCCTCAGAGTAAGCAATGGCCCTGTCTCTCATCCAGTCGTGCTCCGCTACAATTGTCAGCGTAGGAGGCATGAACTTTAGAGGTGGTCCCCGATCTGGTATGAGGGGGTTGGCAGCCGGGTGGTCTAGGCTGAACTCTTCATCAGGTAAAAAGAGCTTCCATGCTAGTACACACATAGGCTTGTCATAAAAGTAAGAATTTGCCAGTTTTATCTCGGAATGCGTTGGAACACTCCCAATGAAGAAGGGATACATCAACACCTGTGCCACCACCTTGACTGGGTCCAAAAGTTTGCCTGCCTCAACAGCTTTCCGAGCCACATAGTCTGCAATATTTGCGCCACAGCTCACCCCAAGAAGAACACATCTGTTTCAAAAAAAATGTCAAACATGTCAGAGGTTTATAGCACCCCCATAACCTTGTCATATAACAAAAGCCTGGGATAGGCCAGGTTTGGGTGGGTTTAAATTGAATTTTCTTCATGCAGGCGCATTATCATCTACCAGATCAAATCACAATATATATATATATATATCTCCAACCCAAAACACTGAAATAAACCCCAATTGTTCGTTGTTGAGGTGACCTAGGGAATTGATGCGATTACAAGGCAACTTGCCCTTTGTCTCCAATTATAACCTAAGAGAACAACATTATTTGGGAACATGTCGCAGAGAGAGCTAATGAAGTATATTCTTCAGCACAGTTGGCTCCAGTGAGACTCCAAAAAGGACAAATTGGTTATTAAAATTACTAGTCCCTATCTGTCTCTTGGAATGGTGGTGATCATATCATTACCTCAATTTAAAATAATAAAAAAAAAATTAAATTTTTTTAGCTCCTAAATCAGACGCACACCAGTCAGACAATGACCTGACCCTCAAAGAGACATGCCTGAAACCAATCATAAAGAATTTTTCTTGAATTTCTAAATTTTCTCAAATTTAAATTCACATTATAGTGTATCAATTGTTAGACATTCTTTCTCTTTTGGCCAATTAAGTTGTGCCATGTACCACTTTTTAGTAGACTTAATTATTACAATCATTGGCCTAACTTGTTCATGCCTATTACACACAACCATACTGAGAGCTCTCCTTTCCCTTCTCTTTATTTTTTCCCCTTCATTCTCTTGTCTCTCCTTGCAAGAGCAAACCATAAACAGCTCTCCCATCCCTTAAAAACACATAAATCCTTGCAATTTCTTGGAGATTTGAAAACTTGTTTGTTAGAAGCTTGGAGCCATTTTGAAGCTCAATAACTTGAAAGAGCTCATCAACCTCTCACCATCCCTCACCATCTCTCATCTTCTCTCTTTCATTTTTAAAGCTTCAAGAAGTAGGGTTTTCAACTAGTCTCTTCAAATAAATTAGATGCCATTTTGAAAGCATGTTCCATGATTCTAGCTTCTAAAAGTGTTCTTTTAGTTGCATTTTAGAGACGAGAAAATTGTTGATGGAAATGGGTATGTTCATTTTAGGAGTTTTTCTTGGAGTATATGAGTAGCTTAGAGTTTCTCTTAAAAAATATCAATATATTCATGATGTTGAATTGGGGCATTTTGGGTTGATTGAGCATATCCTCAAATTGGAAATGAAATGATATATTTGATGTATTAAAATGATGATAAAGGACATGGATAGTGAAATTTCTAAAGTAGACCTCTTGAAAAATATGAAAATTTGGTTGAGGAGTTTACTGTTGATCTTGGTAATTTAGAAATACTTTAATTGATGTTTGGTTGATATATGGTGTATTATGATTTGGGAAAAAACTAGTTTCTTGCTATTTTGGGATTTCTGAGTTCTGTTGAAAACCTAATGAATGGTATACTCGGCCTAGTTGCGAAAATATGTAAGCAATTTACTTAGTCAAGTTTGTTTATAGAAATGATTTTTGTAAAGGTTGAGTTTTGTCGTGAATTGGAAAGTATAGCAATGTTTTTTTAAAAAAACTTGAAAGTCGACTTTTTATGGAAAGAGGGTCATGTTGATGAAACTAGTTAATGGTGTAAGGGTTGAAAGAACTCAAGTGTGCAAATGAGCAATTTCACTAAAATTACTAAACTTGAATTTTGAGTTTTGGGTTTGAGTTGAAATTAAAGTTTAAGGTTGAGGCCTTGTATTTGATTTTGAGTTAGTTTAATTTTTTGGGCTCGAGAACCATGAATTTTGGGCCAGTTCACTTCGTGTGAGTTGTGTGATCGGAAGCGCATGGATAACGAGTTTGTTTGTTGATATAAGCCCGAAAACCCATGTGGTGTTGGTACCCATAGTCCTTTGGGTTAGTTACCCACAAATTTGGCTTTATTAGGGACTCTTGAGAGTCTCCAAGTATTGGTGCACAACTTGATGTTTCAGACTTGGCAAAGTCAAATTTGTAAGCGCTTACCATCTCACCAATTTTTTTTAAAAAAATAATAATTAAACAATGAAATTAAATAAAACATCTATAAAATTTAAATAATGAAATTAAATAAAATATAAACAAAATTTTAAAATAAAACATCAATAAAATATCTATAAAAAAATATTTAAATAAATTAAATAAATAAAACAAAAATAAAAATTAAATAAAATTATTTTATTTTTAAATTGAGACATTTAAATTTTTTTTAATTTTACTAAATATAATACATAATTAAATACTAGAGGGCAAAAATATAATTTCATTGGCTAATTCCATGGGATGAGTTATCACATAATTTCTATCCCCCCACCAATGGGATAGGATAGTCCCACAAATATGAGACTAATAGTTCAGAGCAAAACTTTTGCAACAAACAAAGGACTATTAGTCCAATCTCATGGCCTAATCCTTCAAAACAAACACACCCTAAGGCCCCGTTTGTTTTCAGAGGTAGAATGGAGGAGATTGTTAGTGAGGGAATTGAGTAAAATTGTGTTTGTTTTGATGATAGTTGTTAATGTAGGAATTGTTAAATTATTTTTATATAAAATAATAAAACAAATAAAAAAAGATAAAAAATTAAACATTAATATTTAAAAAAAAATCCCAATATATAAAAAATAAAAAAATTTCTAATCCCCTCACTATTTTTCTAATACCATCTCCACCTCCTCCATCTCAATCCCCCTTCCAACCTCCATCTATATCACCTCCTCCATCCTAATCTCCTCCCCAACTCTACAAACAAACACAACACTCAATAACCCCACCTCCAGCCTAATCCCCTCCTATCTATTTAACCCCAAAACAAACGGGGCCTAAGAGACTGCCATGTGGTGCAGTATTTTATTCATTTATTACTAAACTTCATCTGTTAACATACAAGAATTATAATGGTCCTTACCTTCCATTCTTCCACCATGCCATATGTTCTAGATTCATGCTTCATTTAAACATCCAGTGGCACATCCACTTGGGAAGCATTATATAATACTGACAGATTCTATTTTTCCCACTAATGCCACAAATAGCAGGCAAGACAAAATTTTCTATAAACCTTCATCAGTAGCTCCATCAAAACAATGAAGAGCTGACAGCTTTAAACAGGCAATCCATCATAATCTAACGCAATCAAAGCCTTACAATTGTTCAGCAGACACCAAGAACAGTACAGGAAAAATTAATAGCTCTTTTATTGCTATCTCAGATATAATGCAAACTGTGTTGGTAACTTGGGATTACACACATGAATGGACAAACTGGATACCTCTGCAAATTTACATGACACCAATTGCTAATTTGCTATTGCCTATAGATATCTACAAAGGGTCTCATTGGTAGATCACATTACCCAAACCCAAAAAGCTGAATAACTTATAAAAGATAAAACAAAATCCCCAACCACCAAGAAGTAATCCTAATTTTTAATTTAATTTAATTTTGTTTGGTTTTTGATGAGCAAAAATAATTCAGTAAGAGGCACACAAGCTTGCAAAAAGAGAATAATCAGATCACTCCCACCATCACCAAAACTAGCAGATAGAATACCTTTTTGACAGTTCACAGAAGGAGATAACCATATGTCTTAAAACATGAATTAATTTGCACTTTGGGAATGCAAACCTATTGGAATGAAATCATAAACTTGAAATTCTTTTCTTACGTTTTGCCTAAACACATGCATCCCATTGTTACCCAAGCAGAACTAATTTGATGATTGACTCTAAAATAAAATAAAAATAATTCCCAACAAGCAAATTTCTTCAAGAAAAAATGTCAGAGGATCTTCAATGCCTCAAGTCAAGGAAAAATTATCGGTTGGTCTTGGGACGCCACATGGCCATACCCCACACCAATCACAATTCACCATATCCCCTCATGTTCTCCAATCACCTAGCACAAATTCGTAAGTCTTCCCTCCACTAATCACAACACCATTGGGGCACCACATGACGATGCCCCAAGACCAACCAATAACTTCTCCAAGTGAAGACCTACAAAACACCATAGTGCCAGAAACCAGGGTAGGGGATAAAATCCCTCATGGACAAAAAGCCAAAAGCAGTCAAACATGAAACCTCCAAAACTAAATTGTAATATAACTATAGACTAGCACAACTAGCACAGGAGATTCAAAGTGGAGTTCCAAAGTGGAAGCATCAACTAGCACAGTAGATTCATACAAGGTATAAAACAAAGAATAAGGCAGCATCTGGTTATATTAATGCATAATACCAAATACAACTTAAACAAAAATGACTAAACATATTCCTTGTGCCTTTTTCCAAGAATAGTAGTATCTTTTTGGCAACTTGGTTATTCATTCTAGCCACTCGCACATAAGTAAAAGGCACAAGTTAACACCAGAATTTAATCCCCCATAAGCAACAATTCTACTCAATTTCCAGGTACAGTTGTGATAACCTAGTTAATTATTTACAAACTCTGTTTAATTCATTAATAATATTAATAAATTGATATGCAAGAGTTATCAATTAAACAGTGGGATCAAAAAGCAACCTGGATGGATCTCCATGAGCCGCCAACCAAGGTTCCACCAAGGATGCCCCGAATGCATCTGCAATATGCCTATGGACATCCGATTTCCTCAAATCGGCCCCACCGCCTCGCGAATTCCACAACGACTTACCACATTCTGCCAAATTCGCCTGCTTTCCCAACCAATGCAAAACCGAAAAACCATCCTCGAACGCAGCCGGGTACCGATTCTCCGGTGCAAGCCTATACCCCACGGCAAGAACAATCACATCACACAACTTCGCAATCCGCCGGCAAAAAAAATCGTTCGTCACCGAATCGTTGCTCCCACTCACAAACCCTCCGCCGTGAAACTGCAACATCACTGGCAGTTTCCGGCAGTTCCCAATCGACGGCGAGTAGCCTCTATACACGTCAGTCTCGGGCTTCAAATTCAAATCATCTGCACTACAGCCATAACTGTTCCTTCTGTGAGTCTCCGTATCAGTCACTACATTGCCCTTCCTGGACGGTCCATAGCTGTTGCGACGGAGCAGAGCTTGATTCGGCTCGCCAGAAACAGATCTGAATTCTAGATCAGAGCGTTTATTCAAAGCCCTAACCCTAGTTCTGGAATCAAAATCGGACGACACTAAACAGGTATCGGGAAGGAAGATTCGGATGGAGAGAGAAGTTAAAGGATCGATGTGAATGTCTTTGGTGGCGACGCCGTCGGAGAAGGAAGGGTTTGCGGGGGCGACGGACTCCTCCGGCCGCGACGTGACGCCGAATGGGCTCTTGCTGGTCTCATCGAGAGGGTTTTGGATACGGTTCTGTAAACGGTGTTTGAGAAGGAATTTGAAGAATACACTGTAAAGCTTTACAGCAACTGTAGGCATTTCTCTCTCCCTCACTCTCTAAATCTTCACACCAGTTAGTCTCTCAAATCCATCGTGTTTCATCAGATTATGATTTAGATTCAAGCCTTAAGGTTCGCGAATTGAGATTGCTTCAATGATGAATCCAATAATTCAACAATGGCGTGTAGAGAGAGAAAGAGATTGAGAGAACCAGAGAGAGAGAGAGAGAGAGAGAGAGAGGTGCGTAATGCGCACAGACATTACAGTAGTGTGTTTTGTTGGTTTGGCATTTCGGGACTGTGGCGGGTTTCGTTTCGTTCCGTGCCAGGTTACGTAACATGTGATGGCCGTAATGGGTGGGTTATATTCTGCTACGATCATCGGTTCGGTGTTCCTTCAGAGTTAGTTTGTGCTTTAACTAGTTGTACGTACGTGATACGCAAAGGCCTCCGTTTATCATTTACGTGGAGCACGGATCTGCTAGAGTGCAGGTGAGCTTTGTGTTGTTGTGACGTATGCTAATTTTCGCGTCGGTGCAGCAAATTTTATTTTATTATATTTTTTTTAACGAAGGCATCTAATAATATTTGGGTAATTTTTTTTAAAGTCTCTAATAATAGTAATTTAGAGGATAAAAGGCATCAAAAAAAAAAAAGTGATGTATCAAGTCCCTGAATAATATAGCTCGCATTTTTAATTATTTCATGGACCAAAATACCCTTCACAAATCAACACAGAAACAAAACTAGATTTTGATGACTGAGTTCCATTCCAAGCATCCAACTATCTTCACGAGCAAGCGAACAGCAGAATTAGGGTTTTAATATCATTTTCACCATCGACATTAAAGTTTCATTATCTTCTACAAAAATCACATTCTTTTCTCACAAATTTATCTGACCATGTTTTCACTGTTCATCGTCATCTCAGTTCATTTTCGTCACATCGCATCTTCATCTCAGGGCATATCAGTTCGTAATTAGCGTTTCATCCTAACTCTGGTAAATTTTTCTACAATTCAACTAGTTTTTATCCAGAAACACAGTTAATTGCATTATATATTAACATTCCATTAATTAGGGTTTCAATTTCGTAATAAAAAACTACATGAATTTGAAAAAAGTTATTTCTCAGTGTTTTGAACTTATTCTTGAACATGTTTGTGTGATTTTATCTATAAATTTCTCTGGCATTTGAATTTCTCTAGTTTTTGCTTGATGTATGTTTCTTCTTTGAATTTTCTTTGGCATGTTTATTTTGAAAAAAAAAAAAAATTTATTTCTTTATGTTTTGATCTTATTCTTGAACATATTTTTGTGATTTTGTCTATAAATTTTTCTACTTTGTAAATTTCTCTAGGATGTGTATTTTTCTCTAGAATATCTATTTTTCTCTGGAATGTCTATTACTCTCTTGTCTGTGTTTAAGTTTCTCTGGCATTTATAATTTTCTCTGGCCACATCACTTGTCTCCTTATGTATCTCTATTATGTTTAATTTTCTCTGGTTATGTATGTAAATTTCTCTAGCATTTTAATACTATAGACTGGAAATTTTCTCTGGAATATGTAATTTTCTTTAGTATGTTTATTTTGTTCAATTCTTGGTTCAATGTTGTGTAATTTTCTGTGGCATGTTTGCGTTGTTTTGTTTATTTTATCTTATTAATTGTGGAATGGAAATTTTCTCTGACTTGCCATGTTTACTTTTCTCTGTCATTCATTTTCTGTGCTTGCTATATGTTTATTTTTTGAATTTTCTCTAGCTATATTTTACTTCTATATATAATTTTAATAATTATTGAAAATTTCTCTGGCATGTTTATGTTGCTTTGTTAATTTTCTCTAGGAATGAAATTTTTCTGTAGCTAGATGTATTTCATGGGAAAACAATTAGTACTCTGACATTTAATTTTCAGTGTCTAATTTTCTCTAACATTTATAATTTTTCCTGACCACCTTAGTTTTCCCCCTTATGTGTAATTTTCTCTAACATATCCAAATTTTTCTAGCATGTTCAATTTTTTTTCTGGAATTTAATGATGACATCTTTTTGTTTTCATCATTGTCTAGAAATGGCAAAACGTAAAAGCAACAAAACACCGGAAACACCGAGCAAGAAACAGAAAATCTCTCAGTCTTCTTATGATCTAAGATCAAAAAGCAGCAAAACACCACAAACTCTTTGCCAAACACACACAAGTCCAAGGTGGTGAAGCAACTAACATCAAGATGAATACCCCAGCTTCAAAAGACTCAAGCTCAAAGGGAAAAAAACCTATTAAACTTCAAAGAAAGAGAGCTCATTACAATATTCAATACCGATCCAACCTCTCATTTGTTGTCTCATTTTTTCAAAGACTTAAATTCAATTCAAACCACTGGAATGATGGATCCAAGGAAATCTAGGAAATCTAGGAAATCTGATGATGACGTAGTTATAATAATTCAACGTTACAATGAAAAAACAAAAGCATTCACAGTTGGTAAAAAGAACTTGACCTTTACAACCAATGGCATGACCTTGACAAGTGTCGATACACTATCCATATGAGGATAGAGAACTTTATTCCATTTACTAGAGAGCAGCCTCCTATCAGACCTTATGTTCATGATTTGCAACCGTATCTTGTCCACCAAATTTGTTATTGGCAAGTGCCGAGCTTCTCGTATCCATGAATTGAATGACTCAGCAACATTTGAATACATCTCACCATAACGTTTCCTCTTAAAATATACATCACTCCAATTTTCATATGGTAAATTTCTCAAGAAAACACTCACAATGTCTCCTCCCTCACTTTTTAATTGATTTAACTTGAAATGAAATGATGCCTTTGCTGGCGCATATACACATTTTAAAAACTTTGACACAATCGTCTCCCTAATCAAATTTGTGTTTCCACATGACAACTTATCCCTCAAATTTCTCCTTAGATGTTCAAAACAAAATCTATGAAAGCAATTAGGGAAAAACCTAGCAATTCCTTCCACAATACCACAACGTCGATCTGATATGAAACATATTACCCTCTCCGATCCCAATACTTTACATAAATGTTTAAGGAACTAACACCAATTGTCTTTATTCTTAGCATCAACAACAGCAAAAACTATAGGAAAAAACCTAAAAAACAAATAGGAACAAGCATATTAGATATACACATGCAGAGAAAATTAGAACAATGAACAACCAGAGAAATTTGGCACTACCAACATTCAAAGAAACTTCACACAGTGGTCAAATCCAGAGAAAACTCACATAATGGCAACATCTAGAGAAAATTCACTTAGTGGCCAACTCCAAAGAAAATTCATACGTTGGCAACATTCAGAGAAAATTCACATAGTGGCCAACTACAAAGAAAATTCACACAATGACAATATCCGGAGAAAATTCACTGAGTAACCAACTACAGATAAAATTCACACATTAGCAATATTCAGAGAAAATTCACTTAGTGACCAATTACAGAAAAAATTCACACAATGACAATATCCATAGAAAATTCACTTAGTGACCAACTACAGATAAAATTCACACAATGACAACATCCAGAGAAAATTTACACACTGACCAAAATTCAGAGAAAATTCACACATTGGCCACAACCAGAGAAAATTCACACAGGGGCCAAAACCAGAAAAAATTCAAAGTATCAGAGAAAAATCACATTCACTCAATTCCTACATGTATAGAAAATTCACATACTTAGATAAAATTAGATATATTTACAATTACCTTAATTCCCATATTTCCCCGTCGCAGCAAGCATAACTCATTTGTATCGTCCTTTCAAAAATGTTCCATCAAGAAACAACAATGACCGACAATATTTGAAACAAGCAATGCATGCATGAAAAGTCACAAACACTCTTTTGAAACGCTTGTTATCTTCAAAATCAAACTCAAAACGACTACCTGGATTGTTCTTTAATGCTTCATCAAAATACCACCGTAATTGATTGAATGACAAACAAGAATCCCCATATGTACTATATTTTGCTTTTTTAATCCCCAACAAACCACAGTTATAACTGATTGAGACCTCATACTTGTCTTTCATTTCTTTAACAACATCCACTGGACAAGTTAAAAGTTTTGCACTTACCTCTTCAAGTATCAGCCCAGAAACTAAGTTGGAAATCATCCTAGCATGTTTACTAGTATGAACCGTCACACCATACGTATGTTCATTGTTCAAAGTTCTTATGTAAAAGAACCCATTTGTTTTTTTCAACTGAAGCATGTACACACTACATACATCCCCTTGATTCCTTATATGCACATTCTGCCGTAACTCTCAACTTGTCATTTTTTACATACGTAAACTGAAAACCAACCTTAATAGCATACTTGCATAAAACAATATGAAACTCAACCACATCACCCTCAAACTTTTATCCAACACTCCTAATATTATTTCGCCAACCAGTTGACAATAACACATTTTCTTGGTGAGAACAAAACTTAGAGATTGAATTCCTTTCAATATCCACCAGCCTATCACATTCACCATGCACAACATCTACCCAATTAGACCCCACTTTATCCTCTTGATCAGAAGTACTATACCTAATAACTGAAACATCAACTATATCAACACCATGTGCACAAACAACCCTCAACATATTTAGAAAATCAATATTATTTCGAACCATACAATTCGGATGGCCCACAATAGAATATGAAATACACATCGTCTCAAGTTTCAAATTCTCCTATGTTTTACACAAAATGCCAACCAATTTCTCAAAATTCAATTCGCATGAAACATTGATGACAATAGTATCATTCCCATATTTGCACAGTAACAACACTGCACTGTCCATCGAAACTGAAAAAAAAAAAAAACAAGAAAAATAATTTGTTCAACATAAAAACACTTCACAAAAACAACATAAAAGTCCATAGAAATTTCTAATAATTATAATTTTCTTTGGATTAAAATAACAAGCTTATAATTTTCTCTGGACTCAAATAAAAGTCCAGAGACATTTACAAACTTATATTCACCTTCAAAATAACAAAAACAAAATCACAGAAAACTTAACGAATCCAGAGAGAATCATAGAGAAATTTACTGTTAACTATTAAACACAATCATAGACAAAAATCACACAAAAGATCTGTTATGAAATTATAAGCTTATCTATGATTTTCACTAGACTACAAGCTTACAATTTTCTCTGCGTCATTCTGCAATATTGCACTCATATCAAAATCTAGAGAAATTTACAAACTTATATACACCTTCAAGATAACAAAAAAACACTGCACTGTCCATCTAAACTGAAAGCAAAAACACAAAAAATAACTTTTACTCAGAGAAATAAAAACTTATATTCACTTTCTACAAACTTATAATTTTCTCTGAACTACAAACTGAAAGAGAATAACAAACTTATAATTTTCTTTAAACTACAAATAAAAGTCCAAAGAAATTTAAGAACTTACATTCACTTTCTAAGATTCTATCTGCATTAGAAACTTCTAATAATAGGTCCATGTGAACTTATAATTTTCTCTGTGATTTTCGTTGGATTATAATAACAAACTTACAATTTTCTCTAGACTATACCAACAAAAGTGTAGAGAATGAAATTCCCCTAGTTTAAAAAAAATTTCTCTCGTTTGAAAAAATGGAGAACAAAACTTATCATTGATCAGCATGTTGATGAAAAACAGAGCACGAAAAATGAATTCTAAACATCAAAATCAACTACATTGTCAACTCTTTTTGAAATTGATCAAAAAACAGATAATGAAAAATGAACTCCAAAAATCAAAATCAACTCTATCAAGCTAGCCTCTTTTTAAAATTGATCAATAACAGAGAATGAAAAATCAACTCTAAAAATCATAAACAACTTCACTGTGCTAGCCTCTCTCTTTTAAATTGATCAAAACTGAAAACAAAAACCTAATACAAAAATACACTCGAAAAACTAATATAAAATCGGAATCCTTACATAAAATTCCAAAAAAAATCAAATTCCATGTGAAATCTCCATCGAAAACATACCTGATTCAACTCCACTGAAAAACCTATACGATCGACACACTGTAACACCTACACGATTGTAGCAATCTCTATCGTCAAGTCCACTGCAACACTTGCAAAATCCCTATGAAATCTCCGACAAAATCTCCACAGCGAAGACAGTTTCCAAAATCTCCACCATGAAGTCAGCAATAGAATATTTAGTTTGTCAAAATCCAAACAAACTTATGTTAAAAAGAAGGGTAAATTAAGTATTTTATAACCTAAATTAAGGTTGAGGGACCTTAGCCATCAAAACATATTATTGTGGACCTTTCCTCCTATCAAAAGTTAGGGAGGGATCTTAGACTAATTTTTCCTAAAATGTTTAAGATTTCTAATATTACTGTTTTGATAATTCAATTTTTTTTTGTTTTTTGATAAAAATTTTGTATATTTCATCAAAATAAATAAACAAATTGATATGATAATCATAATCTATTCAACTAATTATATTTGTCACTAAAAATGATATCTTAAAAAAAAAAAAGATCATCTGAGGATCATAACTTATTTAATTTATCATATTTTTTACTAAAAAATATAATCAATAAAATAAATAGATCAAATCATAAAAATAGGATTCGTGAGTAAAAACAGCACTATTCAATCCAAATTATAAGTAGCATTGCCCAATCCAAATTAAGGATGTTCCTCCTTTTAAAATTGGGAGTATGATTGAAATGTATTTTTGAAAAGAAAACAATTTATATGGTGGATATCTTGTAGAGTGGAATGGAATGATTTGTTTTTTTCAGAAAATTTCTTGAGTAATAGTATGTAAATAAATTTCCTGTATACAGTAATTTGAGTCTTTATGATTTTCTTTGTTTTTATCTAAACATTGAATTATTTTTGAGAGATGCTAGCATGACATCTTAGATAATAAATAATTTTGATTCAAAAGTTTTTATCAATTAATACTCCCATTGATGTAGAAATATAATTAATAATGGTGCTATATATACTAATTGGTATATCAATTAGGATATTAGCATGTGCTGTAACATTACAATTTTAAAATTATGGACCCGACCCATTACAAACTACAAAGTCCCAAACTTTTAAAATAATGTCACATCATCTGTTAATACACTAATTAGTATACCAATTAGTATATATAATTTTATTCTATAATTAATAATCTTTATCTTTGAAAAAATTGAAAGTGTTGGATAACATTTACTCTTTTACAACTTTCGTTAGTAATTTTTTCGTTTTTAGTGGTCAACTATCGAACAAAACTCTATGATTAGATAAATTTTTTTTATTATTCAATAAATTTTATTAATAATTATTAGAACGAAAGCTATGTTTTTAGTTGTTAATACTACTTATTCATCTAAATAATTTTAACAATTAAAACACGTTGTGAACTAATTATCTCACTATCACTTGAGAGTAAAAAAAAAAAAAAAATTGGTCTAGGGTCCCTCTCCCACTTTTCATAATGGAAGAGATCCATAAAATTTTTTTTTGATGTCTAAGGTTCTTAAACATATATCAGAGAAATTTGACTCTTCGTCTCTGCTCCTCTACTGCAGAGCAGCACTTCCTCTCTCTCCGAAATCCTCTTCGCGCACCAGAAACCCCTCTCTCATTCTCACCTAAAAATGGCGTCAGCCGAAAATGGAGAAGGAAGCTGAGACTGTTATTAATGGCGGAGATGCGCAAGTTAACAACTCTACGCAGGGGTTCAAGCTAGTGGAATTCTCAAACTTCGTACGTACCAACCCTAAAACAAACCGGTTCACAGTCAAGCGGTTCCGCTACGTGGAGTTCTGGTGCACCGACGCGACCAACGTGGCTCGCCGCTTCTCATGGGGCCTCGGAATGCCCGATTTGATGCCATCAATGTCATAGTACTTGCTTTTCGGGAAGATAATGATTGCAGCCTAGATTTTTATGTTCTTTTGCAAAGCAACACTAAGGGTTAGTTTGACATGTTTGAAAAAAGTTAAAAAGTCAAAAAGTCACTATCCTATTTAAGTCACATCACTTCTCTAACACATCACTTCAAACCCAACCCAAACCCAACTCATGTTTCATAAAAAGTCAAAAAGTACACTTATTTAGATCATCCCAAACAACCCCTAAATATAATCGAATGTATGCTAGAATTTTTTCTCCTTCCTCCTCTTTTGGCTGGCTTTCTACAATGAATTTGACTCATTGTGTCTGACTTGGTTTTGTTTATGCTTTTTGTAAAGGAGGTCACTTGGAGTTTTTGTGGGAAAAAAATGAGGACTACTGGGGCTTGGTTTGTTTTATAGAATGAAAGTGAATTTCGAGTCTATTTGGTTTCTTGGAATTAGGCCTTGATGCTAGAAAACGTTGCATCTTCTTGTTGGGACCGAGATAACAAACCTAGCTGCAAAGCAATAATGATTATGTGCAGTATATATATATATATATGTATATATGTGAAAGAGAGGGTGGTGAAGCAGAGGAAAGTTGAAGGTTGGAGTGGTGAGCGGTATCCCCAGAGAAATTCTTTGGGTTTGAACTAAAATTTCTCTAAAGAGGTAATGTTGATATAGCTAGTTATCATGCATGTTCATGTTTGCAGTTCTTATGTTGATTGATATGCTATACCTACTATTCCTCCTCTGTTATAAATCCTTGAATTTTACAAAATTATTTTTGGAATCTTGCTGAGTTTTTCAAATCTTGCTCAGTATTTCATATATTAATGCCTTACTATTTGTTGAAACATTTTGTCAGACCTCTCCATTCAAACTATGATTGAATCAGCAGCAGCAGAACCAAAGATAAATTGATCAAATCAGAGTTTTATAGTTCTAGAGAAATTTGAATTTTCTCTGGGTTGAACCCAGAGAAATTCATAGCATTAAGTTTAAAGAAAATTTATCACAAACTCATAGAAGAATTATTAATTTGTTTGTGCAGGAAATTGAGATTGAATTAGCAGCAGCAGAACAAAAGACAAATTGGTCAAATCAGAGTTTTATAGTTCCAGAGAAATTCTGGACTTCCAAAGAATTTCTCTGGGTTCAACTCAGAGAAAATTCAAATTTCTCTAGTCCAGAATTTCTCTGGAGCAGAATTTCTCTAAATCAAATTGAGGGACTTTAGACATTATGAAAATATTAGATGTCATTTATACTATAAAATCTTAATACCATGGACCCTAAAAAAAAAACCCTAAAAAAAATGCGTTTCATTTCAATAATTTTAACATTTTACCTTATAATGTGAATTAATTACCATGGTCATCATTCGCAAGTGCTCATCTGCCTCCTATCACCATTAATGCAAGTATATCATTTCCGTGTTGATCTAATATCTCCATCAACTCATCACCACCACACATCACTATCATCACCATTCCTCACCACCATCCACATTATTTTCTTGATTAATAAACAAAACAAACCTATCTTTCAAAGCAGCTATCCCTTCATTTGACCTTTTTTTTTTTTTTCTTTTCTTTTTATTTCATTTTAAACTGAGATAGCTTGCAACTTTCAAGTCCTCCTTTGCGTAGTCAAGAGATGGATTCATATCTCTACCAGATGTTTGCGTTTTTGCTCACCACACTTCTCTACATATATATATATATATATATTGTTAATGTATTGTCCAATAATCTATTGCAATTGTTTCATATTAACAATATGTAATGTTTTGAACTGTTCATATTAAAGGCAAATGAGATCAAAAAATGAGAGCCTTTGAACACTTGAACCACCCATGAATAAAAATGGAAGTAGGTCAAGAAGCATAATCAAATATTGTTTGCCAGTTTAATACGAATCGGATTACAACTCATGCCACGCAAGATATTCCATTTCACCAACATAGGATAATGATACATATATAAATTCAAGTGCACATTTAAATTAAATCCAATTCAAAAATATGTTAAACAACCTCCAAAATGATGCTCTTTCAATGTCGCCCCTCTTTAGACACTACCAACACACAAAAAAATAAAATAAAATAAAACAAAAGCCCAAAAGTCACCTACCAAATTTCCTCCATATAATTGTGCAGCGCAGTGCTATGAAAACACCCATTTTTTCCATTACCCCGAGCCCATATATACAGTCCTCATTCATGCACAGTGGCGTTCTTCGCCATTCTTAACCTGACAAACCCAAAACTAGAGAATTTCTGATCTTCTCTAGCCTGACGGTGTGTGATTGGATATCCTAGGGTGGACAAGCACTGGTTCATTACTAGCACCTTTCATTGCAGCGATCTCCTCTAAGCGTTTCCATGTGGCTTCTCGTTTTTCCTTAATTTCTTCTTCCCGGGCTTCATCTTCCTGAAATTTATGCAAGCATTCCTCAAAGAGCTCTGGATCAATATCAGAGAAGATTTTGCGGACATTTAATGTCAAATTCTGTACTGCCTGGTTCCAGTGGTTTCTAGCATTTTTTTCCAAGGCGGGAAAGATAATTGGCAAAATGACCTTGCGGTTGTGTTTGATTAGGTTTTCAATGTGATCGTTGTTCCATAAGAACAATGCCCTCTCTGCCACCTGTAAATACAGTTCATTAACAAACGCAATAAACTAAATCATAGTATACAATCAAACATGTTCCATAAGAACAAAACTTCTAAACCATCGCACTCTCCAGAAACATAAAACCATTTATATTATCTCCAAATAAAGCATATCATGCAAGTGTGTTCCATCAAACGAAAATATATATGAGATATCTAATTAACAATGTAAACATGAAGTCAATAACCAATTGCCATCCTATACACACCTAACAAATGTAAATTATCGTGGAAACACAAGTTTGGAGTACCATCATGAAATAATGAAAAATGGCAGCACCGCAAAAGAATATATGCAGTGACTATTGAAGTTTTTGAGAATCCAATGGCATTTAGAGTATATGCTTAGAGTCTTTTGCCACAGTCCAGGGTGAGAATTTAGAATATTTTCTGAGAGACATCATAACATTCGAAACCAGTTAAGAGTAGAGTGTTGGTTGTTTCTTGTTGCAAGTGAATGCAACAGGTGAACAATTCAGACACTTTTTTTTTTTTGATAAATAAAAACATATTTAGTGAACAATTTAGACACTTAATTACACTGTTCCCTCAAGACTCCCTCCATTTAGACGAAGACCTTCAACAGATCTTCCATTGAATGCAAAAAATTCTAATTTTTATATAAATCTCAAGCTAATGGAGGACTTTGCATGCTAGAGTTCCCCGAAATCTATGTCGTGTGTCCCTTGATATAGCAAGCATCAGTAAATCCTGATCTCGTGGAGAGTTGACTGGGGGTTAGACAATCACTAGCAAGTAGTAGAACATATCAGACATTGGAGTCCCAGAGGACTAGAGAAGAGATGGAGTAGTTCAGCTGAGAGAGAGAGAGAGAGGCAATGAAGTTAAGTAGAGAGCTCATAGTTCAAGACAGACCTCTCTAGATACAATGAATGTCCAGACTTGTGATGTAAAAGAGTACTGCTACTACCTTCTGTTTATAGCAGGTAGGTCACATGATCGTAACCAATTATTCAAATATTCCAGATTCCGTTAGGATTTGCCTCAATCCTCAAAATTTTGTAGTCAAGATTAGTTATGCAGTCTCTCTCTCTCAGTAGGACTGGCTGAAGACAACTTGACCTGTTTGGGGCATAGTGCCACAGCAAAACCTCCATCCGTAGACTCCAAGACACAAGAACCCTAGAATTTTGTCGTGCGTACCAAAGACATCAACTTGCGTAAGCGGTGCAGTGTAAAAACGTTAACGATGACCATTGCAGTGACAAGACACAAGTTTCCGGAGCTGACTCCCATGGGGATAATGCCAGAGTGTCCTTCAATGTGGCTGGGCTAGTACAAAAAACATGAACCTTACATATGTCCCTTAAAAACTAACAAGCGTAAATACCTATGCTGACGTGTAAGGTACACGTCACTGCCTACATGCTCACAACAAATGTCAGTATAAGAGATATCTGTAGTTTTTCTCAAATGTTTTCCAATCTCTCTTCATCCAAATATGGTACACGAGCAACAGCCAGCCACCTTCCAAACCATGTTTGGAAAAAGGAGTTTTCTTTTCACTTTAATTTTAACCAATCAATAATTTGATCAAATGTACCTTTATAAGGCCTTAGGTTATACATGTTTAGAACTTCCAGTTACAAGTTGCTTTTACAACTACAGCAGAACTGGTTGTGAGATTCAAACTCCCTTCTGCTGAACGCACAGGTAGCTCTCACAAAGTTGGTTCCTAGCAATCAACTATCAAGTGAAGCTCACCTATGTTTAATAGCCAAACATAACACAAATTCATGTGTTCAGAACACACATGCATCTCCACAAAGTTTAACTTGGCAATCAAACTATCTCATGCATCAAACCTGTCTAATCATCACAGGTTAACATGTAATTTAACATATCTTCTTGTGAATGGACACCTACAGCAAAGGATTTATTAAATATGTGAAGCCTACTGTATGACCCATTGATCTGCCCAAGGAAAGGAGCTTATGAGCTCATTTGTTTATGTCCATCTTTCTATTTACTTACTCTAGGGAATTAGAAGTCTATATTATGTAGGAGAGATTATTATGACGGATTTTTCTCTACTACCCGTGACTTCACCATGGTGGCTCTTCTATTCAAGCCTATTATCAATTGCCAACTTCAACCGATGGCAAATTCTGAAGGCAAAGCAACCATCTATCAAGGCATATTGATGTCCTTGTCCTCAATCTTTCACACAAACTTCAGGGCCAACTTTATAAGTTTTCATTTTTTTTCTTTTCCACTTGCAACCAACTTCAGTTTGAAAGGGAACTTGACACTCTGGGATCCAAAACAGATTGAGAAGTGTGTTAAATCTGGTCGTATGTGGTGACAAGTTAAAAGCTATGGCTGAAACACTTCATAAAATCTCACTACATGGTTACCTTTAGAGTAAGACTTGATTAAATTTGCTCATATATGATCCATGAACTATAGTTTCTGTTTTATACGTTTGCAGCAAGCAGTAATGCATTAGAAGTAGCCTTGTAATGCAATTTTAGACTTTCATCAGACTCACAATTATTATGTAATTACACATTACATTAAAAAAAGACAAAAGAAATTCCAGCATGATCTCATATTTGGTCCATTGGCAGCTGATGCACTGGTGGCCTAGAAAGGTTACCTAGTAAATAAACAATGTTGGATTTCCATAATCTATATAAGGTAAAAGTATGAGCTCATGGAGTTGCTTGGTGAAAAATTGTGATTGCTGACATCTTTGGTGGCAAGTATACATGCTTAACTCTGCCACTACAACCAGAAACATTATTTAAATGATTGAGAATAGATATGAGATTAAGAGAATAATGATGAAATTAGTAAAACTACCTACTTGAAAGTGTGAACTGCTCAAGCAACAAGCAATCTGGCGGAACAAGGGTACCATACAGCGCTGAAACTCCGGGGGCTGAGTTGCTTCTAAAACCTCCTCCAGCTCGCCTAAGAACATGACCTCCTTGGAACTATTTGTGATAGGCCAATACCTCAATAATCCCCTTATAACAGTGTCAGCGAGCTTGCAGTCTTTTTCCACAAATTGTGTGATGCAGTAAGATAACTGCTGATGGTACATTGGTATGCATTTTGGTTTGTGAAGTGGAATCAGAGCCCGAACAAGAAAGAGTTTGTGCTCTTCTTTCAGTGGCAATGCAAACCCATTAATTATACTCCCCAATATTTCTAACAGTTCTGCAATTCCATTATGCTTCTCGGTTTCAAAAATAAAACGATAAAATATGTTGTTGATCCCTTTCCTAATGAATGGGCGGTGCACCATAAACTTTCCATATATGCGGTGTAGAACAGTTTTCAAGTACTCTCTTTCTCTAGGATCCTCAGAATCAAAGAGATCCAACAACCTTAGGACAAAAGAGTGATCAATGTACCGCTTAGCCAATTTTGCATCTGTCTCAGGTGATGCCACAAATCTCAAAAGGAATTCATACACAATTTGCAAGTGAGGCCATGCTGGGTCCATCATGGGCTCCTCCTCATCCATATCAAAGCCTTCTGAAACTTTGTTCTCACGAGGTTGAGGAGTGAGTGTCCTGAACAAGTTTGTGGACACCATCTTTACAATTTCTTGCATAACAGGTTCTGTGAATTTTCCATTTGTGGAAGTAACATAATCAACAAGCTCTACCAACGTCTGTCGTTTGATGTCCTTTTCTTTCAAATTCTTTGTTGGGTCAGTAAAGTCAAACACAACACAACACAAGTTCAGCTTTTTGCTGAACAAGTTCTGCTTCTCAGAGTTGGGAACATCTCTAAAACTCGGCAATGCCTCGTACGAGGAAAATGTTGAATTCCCATTCGACTTTGAGTTCAAAGCTTGGGGGATCTTATTTCCTTGACTTACTCCTGAATTTGAAGTAGAATTAAGACCCGGAACAGAAGTAGCATTCAAGTTCCCAAACTGACTACTTGCTAAATCACTTCGTAAAGTGGCGGAAACATTTGAAGAGGTAGTAGACATTCCCCCATCACGATTTTCTGCTGACTTGGATGGCTTCCGTGGGAGCCTATTAAGAAAATTCTTGATCATAACTTAAAATGACAAGCTAAAAATTTGTCACGCAAACTGTAGAACAACCCGATACTGGCCACAACACTCTCAGAGCAGACGCCACATAATCAATGACAAATGATGGCCGTGCTATCAGAAGAAGTGATGGAACCCATTTCCATTAAACCAAATTCAAGGCAGTATTAGCAATCCTCAGAGGATCCAATCCACTATTTTGATCGGGAACAACATCCAATCCACTATGTAGGCATCTTATCCTCTCTGCAGTCATAAACCGGCAAGCATGCTCTTAAGCAATTGATGGTAGTTCCAGTACAAGTGGTTGAATCCCCTTCTCATCTCCCAAAAGGAATCAGACCCAATTCATATGATGAAAATTCCTATATGCAGAAATCCCTATCAAGAAAGTTTTAAACCCAAAAATAAATAAAAAAATTAATTAAATTAAATTTCCCAACTATCAACAGAAATATAGACAAAAGCACCTAGTTTGTCTTCAATTAACACGAATTAAATGTCGTTATGTAAATTGTAGTGAGAACCCAGATGCATATAACAAGTGCAAATCAATAATTATCTGACAAATGTTAAAATTGAACACAAGAAACTTTGACTTGTCTATGTTCCTCAGCACATAAAGGGGAGGGGGGTGGAAGTAAGATGCATACTCACCTCCTTTATATTCTCTTTCAGTTAAACAAATATTCAGAGCTATTCGGCTAGATCAAAAGAAAACGAGATCTGGGCGTGATCTACAAAACCCAGATAGCATTCTTCATCAAAGTGTCACCTACAAGAATAATCAAAAGCACTAAAGCGAAAGTAAAGTGCAGAACATCATTTTATTATTAGAGTTCTTGCTCTACTTACATGAATGTTTTGATTGTCCTGATAAGAGACCAAGAAAAGCGAAGCACAGAAAGTGATATAGTGATCGAAATCTGAAAAGGAACCAACTGAGAAGAAGGAAGGGAGGGGGAAGAAAGCAATCTCTTCTGGTGGTTGATGATGATGATGATGATGATGATGATGATGATGATGCTGTTGTTGTTGATGTGTTTGGTTCGCGAGAATTATTTTTCGTTTATTTTCTTTTTCATTTTCCTTCCAACTTTTCGTTTTAGGGATTTCAACCTCAGAACACTTCTGCCTTGGTTTTCCGTAGACTTTGAGTCGTCTTGTATTTTGACCAAAATAACCTCAAAATCTACACAAATTCAACTTTTCATTGTGCTTTTTGAGTTCTGAATGTATGAAAACTATGGGTAGAAATGGAAATTGCACAAAACATATTCCTAATCACGCGCTCCTCCCAATTAAATTGTCATTTGTTGAAAGCTCAATTAACTATTTGCATCAATTAATGTACTAGAAAAATGCTTCGGACTCCCACTGAGTGTCGACCCTCAGTGAGGTGGCGCGTCGTGATTGGACAAAAAAAAAATTATTTTATTTTATTTTATTTTTTTTTTAAGTTTCAGCCAGTGGGGGCTCGCCACCTCACTGGGAGTCTGCAGCATAGTTGTAATGTACTAACTAATATATTAAATTAATGATATAACATAATTTAAAAGATTTTTAATATTTATAATTTGTATAATGAGTAGAATCAATAATAATATTATAATTAGGGGTAAATTACATTCACCTCCCCTGAGGTTTCTGACAAATACAGGGACCTCCCATGTGGTTTGAATAATTACAGTAACACCCTCTACTTTACCTGACAATGTCAAGATTCCCCCATTCCGTCTATTTTGCCCAAACGACGTTAGTATCCAATAGAAAATGACCATGTGACCCTTACTTTTTCTTGCAAAAAGACCAAAAAGCCCTTTGTTCACAAAATCCCCAATCAATACATTCACAATACAAATCGAATTGTTCAGAGAAAGAAAAGAGAGAGGGAGGCGATCGTCGTGAACCGATCGTCGATTGTGAAGAAGACGAAAAAGCTTGAGGTTTTGAACCGATCGTCGTTGCCAATACACAATGTAAAAGAGTTTCATCGGTGAGAAGTTGCTGTTACGGCTTCCAGGTAAGATTTCGAACTCTATAAGCTTCGAATAGTGTTTTAAAATGTGTGTTGATGATTTTCGAATATTTTTTTCCATCTTTTTTCTTACAAATTTGTTTGTATTCTGTGTTTGATTTGATGAAATGTATGTGAAAATGGTTTTCTTCGAAAATATATATTTAGAGTTTATATTTTATTTACAAAATTTCTAACTGGAAAAAAGGAATTTGTTGAATATTACTATAATAATAGTGTAATGTAGGGATTTAATATAAATTTCTGATTTTTTTTATTTTATTTATGAGATGTATGTTTAGGGCTTTTATTTGATTTGCAATGTTTAGGGCTTTTATTTGATTTGCAATGTTCAGGGCTTTTATTTGATTTGCAAAATTTCTGATTCGAAAAGAAGGAATTTGTTGAAAATTTATGAATTTATGATTTTCTGGGTGTTATTCAGAAGATGTAGTTTAGAATGAATTTCTGATTTGTTGGGTTTTACTTATGATTATTTAATATTAGTATAATTATAGTGTAATTTACGGATTTCTTCATGTTTGCATATCTTCTTCAGTTAATTGTTGAGTACTGAGTTAATTTTTACATCATTTTTCTTCTTTTTCTTGTCAATTTGTCATTGTATGGGCTTGCTTATTTTATTTTATAATTGGTACATCATTATGATTACAGTATGGCTGCATTTCCTTATTTTGATTTAATCATCAACTACAAAGGAAAAGTGGGAAGAGTGTTTGATGTGGACCCAAATATGTATTGCTACATTGATGCCTTGAAGGATGTAACTGCAACAGTCCTGTCTCACATTTCTTGTAGTGAAGCAATAGCAATCACATTGCATTGTGATATGCCTGGTACTGACAGAAGGAGATTAGTAGAAAATGATCTTGATGTGCTAGACATGTTTTATGTGCAAGGAAGGAGTAAAACAATTAACTTGTATGTAAACATAGAATATTCTATTGGAATGAGTGATGGTGGACATAAAAGTAATGTTGGAAATGAAAATCATGGAGTAGATATTGTAGATGTAGAGCAAGACTACCATACTGTAGATGTAGATGAAGAGTACCATCAGGACAATGTATATGGGTTTAGTGATGAGGATAGGGATTGGAATGCAACTGCTGAGGATGAAAACCAATCAGATGCCAATGAGATTTTGAGTGATGATGATAATGAGTGCTCAAGTGATGATGCTGAACTTAGTGATTACCAATCTGGTGATGATGAAGTGCCATATTCTACTATTGATGATGATTATGATGATGAAGCAGACTGTCTAGATGATGAAGAGATGAGGTTTCCAGGCATGAAGTATGATGGTACCTACAATGGGAAAGAGCCATATATGAATCAAGATGGAGAAGTTGTGTTGGAAGAAGGGATGATTTTTCTAGAAGTGAATACTTTTAGGGCTACATTAAGGGACTATACAGTGCAAACTGGTTTCAAGATAGTAAGAGACAAAAATGAGAAATCTAGAGTAACAGCCCATTGTGCTGCTGAGGGCTGCCCTTGGAGAATTCATGCATCTCCACTTCCAGATGGGATCACCTACAAGATTAAAACCTTAGTACCTACTCACACATGTAGCAGGATGAACACAAACACTGAAGCTACATCAGCTTGAATTGCTAAAAAAATGGTTGAAAGTTTTAAGGACAATCCACACATGGGCTTAGATACCATGCAAATAAAACTGAATAAAATGTTTGGGATTGAGGCTTCAAGAATGCAACTGTATAGAGCCAAAAGGAGGTGCAAGGAGGAGCTGGAGGGTGCTCATGGGAGCCAATATGTGTTGTTGCCAACATATGCTAGTCAAATCAACAAAACAAACCCTGGCAGCTTGGTTGTCATAAATTATGACATACCCTCTACCCCAATCTCAGAAGATGGAGAACAACCAGACCCTACCATTCCTCAATATCCATTGTTCCAAAGAATGTTCATATCATTTGATGCAATGAAAGCAGGGTTCATTAATGGATGTAGGCCATTCATAGAGGTAGATGGTTGTCACTTGAAGGGTCCCTATGGTGGTGTTTTAATTTCAGCAGTTGCCTTGGATGGAAATAATGGCTTGTTTCCATTGGCATTGGCAATAGTAGAGGGTGAATGCAAGGACAGTTGGTCTTTTTTCTTGCACAACTTGAGAACAATCATAGAAGATGCACTACCTTCTAGACCATGGACCATCATGTCTGATCAACAAAAGGTACTTTACTAACATATTCAACAACTACTTTACTTACATAATTACAAATGATTCTCTAATTTTAAACTTGTAATGCTTAGTAATGTTTCATTGTTTTTATATGCAGGGCCTTGATAAGATTGTGAGTGACATTATACCGGAGGCAACTCATAGAAGATGTTGCATGCACCTATATAACAATTTCAGAGCCAAATTTTCGGGTTTAATTTTGAGGAAGCAATTTTGGAGAGCAGCAAGGGCTTACAATAAGATGGAGTATGATAAGGCTATGCAAGCCATTAAGGACCTGAACAATGATGCTTGCATTTGGTTGCAGAAGGTTCCAGTTGAAGGAAGGTCTAGGCATGCATTTGATGGTAGGATTAGAAGTGATCACATCACAAATAACATGACAGGGTCCTTCAACAATTGGTTAGGAAATTTGAGAAGTCAGCCAATTTTAACTATGTTAGAGGGCATAAGGTGCAAGTTGATGGGTAAATTTCAGATGAGGTACCAAAAGGCAATGCAATGGAAATCTAATGTCACATTGAATGTGAAGAAACAGCTTGAGGTCACACTGAAATGGTCAAGGACTTGCACAGTGGAGTATGCAGGAGGCAATGAGTATGAGGTGAAGGATAATGAGGGGGTTAATCACATTGTCCATATTGGGGCAATGACTTGTGTATGTAGACAGTGGGAAATATCTGGTCTTCCATGCAAGCATGCTATGGCTGCAATTTCTCACAGTAGGTTAAACATAGAAGATTTTGTCCATCCCTACTATTCTAAGGCAACTTACTTGAGAGCCAATGGTGGAATGATACATCCCATCTTACACCATAGCATGTGGACCCTTATACCTGGGGACCCTTTACAACCCCCACCACTGAAAAGATTGCCAGGAAGGCCAAGGACTTCAAGAAAGAGGGCTGCTCATGAGCCACCAGCTGGAACAAGTCAGACCAAAAGGTCTAGTACCTTGAGATGCAAATGGTGCATGCAATTTGGACACAACAAGAGAACTTGCCAAAGAGGTCCAGTCAGGGGTGAAGCATCTGCTGCTGGTAGGGGCAGTGGCACATCCAGTGGTAGAGGCAGTGGCAAAACTGATGGCACATCCAGTGGTAGAGGCAGTGGCAAAACTGATGGCACATCCAGTGGTAGAGGCAGTGGCAAAACTGATGGCACATCCAGTGGTAGAGGCAGTGGCAAAACTGATGGCACATCCAGTGGTAGAGGCAGTGGCAAAACTGATGGCACATCCAGTGGTAGAGGCAGTGCCAAAACTACTGGTAGGGGCAGTGGCAGATCTGTGAGTAGGGGCAGAGGTAGAGACAATTCAAGTGGGAGAGGTAGTTCAGCTAAGAGGGGCAATGCAAGTGGTAGAGGCAACTCAAGTGGGAGGGACAGTTCAGCTGGGAGGGGAAATACAACTACAAGAGGAAGTTCAGCTGGGAAGGGAAGTTCAAGTGGGAGAGGCAAGGGCAAGGCCAACCATGCACAAGTGAGAGGCAAGGGCAAGGCCAACCATGCACAAGTGAGAGGCAAGGGCAAGGCCAACCATGCACAAGTGAGAGGCAAGGGCAAGGCCAACCATGCACAAGTGAGAGGCAAGGGCAAGGCCAACCATGCACAAGTGAGAGGCAAGGGCAAGGCCAACCATGCACAAGTGAGAGGCAAGGGCAAGGCCAACCATGCACAAGTGAGTTTTTTGTATTTTTTTTGCCTTTTCATTTGTGATTTTTATTTGTTTTCTATCAATTTATGATATTGATATGCATATTTATTACCTTACTTTGGTTTTCAATTTAGGATATTCCAAGAGGGACCCCCCCAATGCCTGCTGAATGTGTGACACAGGTCACACAGCATCATGTTAGTTATGAACTTACTTATGAAGTTACAATGAAATTAGCTAAGTTGTTGATATTTGTTTGTTTGTGACACAGGTCAGACAACATCAATTTATTTGTTTGTTTGTTTGTTTGACTTTTTTTTGCAGATGACTTAGCTAAGTTGTTGATATTTTGGGTACAAGGATTAACATAGGTTGAAGGTATAAAATATGTGTTGCTTGAATGTATAGTTAGTGAGGATTATGTTCCACTTTTTTGTATTTTTGTAGTGGACATGCAATGCTAAGAATAGCAATATGATGATGTGGCCATTTTTGTTTTTTTGTAGTGGCCATGAAGTATTTTATAACTGATGATGTAACTGAACATATCTGATAGGAATGATGTAAGTAAACTATTTGAACATATTTTACAACAATCATGATGTAATTAAACAGGTGCATATTTATGGAATGGTTTTACTTGCTGTTTAGATTATGTTTACAGGTCATTATGTTATTCAAATGAGATGTGCATATTTACATAATGCTGAAATAACTTCATCATATTTATATATGGTCCATTACAAAACATATTGCATTACAAACATAAGGTCTATTACCAAATATTACAAAACCTTACATAAGGGCCATTACAGGGCCATTACAAAACATTAGGTGAATCATTATCATTACATTTTTAGAGCAACCATTAGGGAAATCAAACACATCACAAAATTCATGATCATTATCATCTTTATAAACCCCATGTTTGCTTCAAGTACTTGCATCCTTGTTTGCATAGCCCCCATTTAGTTCATTAAATTCGTTGCAGTACTTTCTTCTTCATAGGATAAAGTGTGTCTGTTAACAGTTGTTTGAGTGTCTTCCATCATCATTTCTCCTCCAACAGATGAGTTTACTGGTTTGCACCACTCCCAGAATCCGCATTTCCCATTTGGGCATAAATAATACAATTTGCCTCTGTTTTTTTCAGATTCAGTGACTTTAATTGTTGCTTTGCTCCCACAGTAATAGATCTTGCTTCTATATTTCATCACCCCTCCTCCATTACTTGATGATGATATATCCATCCAGTGAACCTACATTTATGAAATGTGAGAGTCATAATGCATTTTCAGGACATATATTGATGGGACATACCTGTGTTTGTGTTTCATTTCTCAATAATGGATCATAGTTATAATGCATTTTCAGGACATATATTCATGGGACATACTTGTGTTTGTGCTTCATTTCTCAATAATGGATCATAGGTATAATGCATTTTCAGATGCAATTTTTTTTTTTTTTTTTTTAAATAGTTAATGTGACTGGGAACATATGTGTTGTGCTTGTGCTTCATTTCTCAATAATGGGCATAGTTATAATGCATTTTCATATGCAATTTTTTTTTTTTTAAATAGTTAATGTGACTGGGAACATACCTGTGTTGTGCTTGGCCCTTTCTTCTTTTTATTGTTCTTTAGTTTTGGTTGCCTCTCTAAATTTTTCTCTTCCACTTGGATTTACTGAAGTGAAGCTGGAGAGACTCTAGCATTTGCTATATATAGATGGGTTGAGGGTATTATGGGCATTTTATTGTTTACATTTGATGACATAGGCAAGGTCTGTTAGGGGTTTAAACGGCTGTCAACTTTTGGGGGAAACTTAACATTGTCAGGTAAAGTAGGGGGTGTTACTGTAATTATTCAAACCACAGGGGAGGTCCCTGTATTTGTCAGAAACCTCAGGGGAGGTAAATGTAATTTACCCTATAATTAGTGTTAGTACATTAGTTAGTATACTAATTGGTGCAGATAACACCACCAATAACACTAATAGGCTTCATTTGGAAAATTATGTTGACTTTTTGACTATTTTAATTCAGACTAAAAAGTTTACTTCCGTTAATTTTTTTTTATTTTTGTGAGAAAAAAATAAAATAATTCTAATTTAGATAGTTTTTTTTAGCTAATTTTATCATTTTAGGAAATTTAACCAAAAAATCAACCCAACCACCCAATTCCCAAAACCACACCAAATTCATACTAAACTTTTCAGAAATTATTTTAAATTGTTATATTGTGATTTAAATTTATTTTATACATGGACCTATATTATACAAATTCAATCTCAATCATAAATTTCTATTCGAAATACATATATATAGTGATTAAAGTGGGATTCATAGACTTAGACCCTGTTTGATTCCAGGATATAAAGGGTGGGATTGGATATTATATACTGTAAGGTCCACATATCCCATATTTGCAAAAAAAATTTAAAGAAGATATATAATATACTATGAGATTGTATATCCCCTAAAATTGGAAGATATACAATACCACCATCCCCCATTATATCATATCTCATAGTTTCGGATATGATTTAAAAGGTCCAATTCACCCTCTAGTCTATCTAATATAATATAATATAATTTTTGAATTTAATATAATATAATATTATTGAATTTAATTTAATATAATTTTTGAATTTCATATAATATAATTTTTTTTTATCATTATCAGGTTGACATTAATGTAATATAATTTATTTTTTGTTTGGAAAAATTATTGAATGTAATATGAATCTTTAATTTGTTCCAATAAAAAATAATATGAATTTTTAATTTGTTTATTTGCATTAGTTCTGAATTTTTAATTTGTTTATTTGCATTAGTTCCAATATGGGTATTTAAAATATATTATGAGGGTAATCTTGAAAATTACTTGTTTATATCCCACAATATATTTTGTGAAACAAACATCGATAATACATATCCAGTTTTATATATCAAGTCAACAAGCATGAATTGAGAGATATATTATCCAATATATATATCATATTCATTATATATCCTGACTAAATCCCACATTATATTATATCCTCCTTATTATATCCAGTGAAACAAACAGGGCCTTAGTTCAAATAAATAAGGATATAGACAGTAACATTTCATTTTAAACGCAAACATCAAACAATTATTCAGTTTGATTAGTATTTGACTAAACTAAATTACATTTAAATATATTGTGAAGTTGATTAAATTTTTGAGCTAGATTCAAACTCAATTGTTTAAGTTTATAATATGTATTTAAAATAACATATAAATTTGTAATAAAAAAGTAAATTATTTGAACTCCACTCATAATCAGTTGAATTAAAACTGATTTAAAATTTATCAAAAATAAAAGCAAACCAAAGTTTAATATTTTTAAAAATTTATTAGATTTTCAATCAAAAAATTGTTGACAATTGGATAAATTTCTATGCACTAATTGTGTTGATGACCCTAATTCACTAACTCAAACTTCTAATATTGTGACGGAATAAATTTAGAAAAAAAGCCTCCGACTCCCGGTGGGAGTACTGAGGTCGCGTGTAATTGGTGCAAAAAAAAATTATTATTATTTTTTTTTTCAGCCAATGAAAAGGCGACACCTCACTGGGATTATCAGTGAAAATCGCTCCACTGGGGGGTCGGTAGCACGGCTCATAAATTTATATGCAACAGTTGGTAAAGAAGTGCCATTTTTAAAGTCCCAAGTAAACTTGTAAGAATCATTAAAACCCTTGAATTCTAAATTATTATTGACAATTTGCTAGCGCATTGCTAGTTACATTGACAGAGACATAAGCGATGTACTTGACTTTAACACTGTGTTTGAAAATTTAAGAGACAAAAGAAAAGAAAAGAAATGATTACTTAAGTAATAAGAGAAAATAAAAGAAATGAAATGATTGTGATTTTTCTAATTTTTGTTTGGATAAGAAAAAATTAAAAGAAGTAAAATGATTATGATTTCTCTCATTCTTGTTTGGTTAATTGTTTGGTTAAATTTCATTAAGAGAAAAGAAAAGAAAAGAAAAGAAATTATTTTATGTTATATTACCAAAATAATCTTTTTATATTTTCAATCATTTTATTTCTTTTATTTTTATAGGGACAAAATTAATATTATGAAAATAGTGATTCTTTTCTTTCCCAATCCCTCCACTTTTGGAAAGATTAAAAATGAAGCTTGCAAGAGAAATAAATTTCTCTCTATTTCTCTCAATTTCTTTCCATTTCTCACCACTTAGATTATCTAAACAAGTAAAAAAAATACATATCTCTCCATTTCTTTTTTTTCTCTCCAAATCGCTCAATCCAAACATTACGTAAAAGTGAAATTGGCCATGATATGTTTATTGTCCATGTCATTGTTGAGATTTGATCACTCTAAATTTTAAAATTAAAACTCATCCTTCTTAAAAGGCATTTCATTTTAAAAGTGAAAAACTTTAATAAAAATTCTTTATGAATTTTATGAATGTAAAACAATTACACTCTTTATTTTAAAAATAATTAAGTAGTTATTGGCCAAAACTTGGAAAGTAAATTGTAACCCACAACCATAAAAGTTGGTGGAGCATCACCATCAGGATCCTTCATCTATTGGCTCACAATCCCATATAGAAATCCTCAGCCCAACAAAGTCAATCAATCTGGATCCAAAAGAAAGATCAAACCAAAAATAGTGCAATGGGCCAACCAAAACAGACAAAGAAAAGCAATTGTACAGCTCAATATTCTTCTTTTGGTGCATCCCAATTGCATGATTTGGGCCACGTATGAATTAAAAACAACTAAGAAGACCATGGAAAATCACAAAATTAATTACAATAGACAACCAAACACTTGAAAACATAAAAATTAAGAACAGTTCAAGAAACTTGTGTCAGTTCTGAATTTGTTTCTTCTCTCTGCAACTTCAGAACAATTGGTATATAAGAACAATAGACACAATATATATAAATGGAAACAAAACTCTTTAAAATGTCAGTAATACGGTGAGAAGCAAAAAAAATACAAATGATGCCATATAGAATAAATGAATTACAGAGTAGAAGAACGTTGCAACAGCCAAGACTGAAAATTCTCACATTTTATCTAATCGCAACAGAAACTGATGTATCCCATGCAACGCATAAATCAACACGTATAAATTAGTTCATCGACAATTAACTTTGAGAGTCAACCAACACAAGACAATCTGAAAAACAAAACAAAACAAAAAGTCTTACCCAATGCACAAGGCTTCTGCATACAGTAAGGTCTGGAAGAGGTAGTAAAGGTAACCCCAGTAGAATTTCGCACCAAACTGATTATTTGGTTGGTCACTGATTTCTAGTCTCCAAAAACTTGAATCAATTGGCACATGATTATGATTTCAACGTCAAAGCTATGCTCCTGAATACTGGATAGAGAATGTGCATATGTAGGAGAGGGAATACATGACAAGGCTGGAAGAAGGAACAGAGATTCATACAGGCAACCATTTCATACACAAAGAAATTGGATAGAAGAATATCGCAATGGATAAATGAAAACACAAGTTAACAGCAACTTAATTATCTCCTGGAGAATACAACAGTAGGGTTGTCCACAGTCTGATTTTAGCGCTCCATCAAGGCGGTTTCAGTTTCTGATAATGGTGCTGCAAAGGAACAAAACAAACTTTCAAAACAAAAATTCAAATTAAGAAAAATATTTCATGATCTACAATCAAGCAGTTGACAGCATCTAATCACGCATCAAGTATACCACGGTTCTTCAAATGGATGGATTTGTCTAGAAAAAGTGAAAGATATCTTCATACCAGATAATCAAATCCTCCAGAAAAACAATTTTCATATTTAACAATTTCCTAAGCAAGGCACACCTAATAGTTGACTTTTTGCACAACTGTTCCTGTGCATGCTTTTGTTTTTGTGCTTAAAACTCATGTCATATTTTGAAACTTTCAGACAAATATATGATACTAGAGACAACCTGTGTCGTTTCCCCAAAGCAACTGGGAACTAAAGAATGTCCAATTCCAAGCATCATATACGTAGCATGATTACAAAGACAAGACACCTAACTAACACGTAATGAATGCCAAGGAAATCAGAAACAGGCATTAATGGATGCCAAGGAAATCAGAAATAATGTTGCCGCACCAACATACCGAGTAAGTCTTCATAAGAATCTCCAAAGAATGATGTGTCCATTAGCAAAGGAGGCGAGAATACTTGATCTTGAACTTCCCCCGTGTCATAATACGACTTCTGTGAATCGGAAACTGTGAAATTTGACCCAGCAGCTGAGAGAAAATCACTTACACTGTCATACTCAGGAAATGATTCCAAGTCATTTAACATTTGTGGTAGTTCCTTGTACTTGCTCTGAGCATGACCATTTGGAGCACGATTCTCAACAGAAAGGTCTTGAGATGCAAACAACATTTTACTCCTTACTGGACCTAGTTTTTTATCTGGGCCAATATGAGAAAACCCAGTTCCTGAAAGTGGAACAAAGTAGTGCTCAGAACTATCATCAGATCGATTGTCCTGTGATGATTCCAAATTGCAAGACTGCATTGACAGAGCAGCTTCTCTGACAGACCGCTTTAAGTTCTGGACATAAGAATTGTCACTGTCTGGAAATATGAAAAATAAGAATTAAATATTTTAACTGGAATGTCAAATGCCTTTCACAAGCTGATGGAAAGTGGGAGAAGAAACAGAAAACTAAGAACCTTGTGGGGGATTATCAGCGTGATTACTATTTGACAGAGGCTGGTCCAGAGACTTCCTTTCTGAAATATTTTCTGTTTGATTAGTTTGAGCTAAGGTGTGTCGCTTTTGCACATTCCCACCTTTCGCAGTAGAATTTGGTGTCACACTAAACAAAGGAGGGAGTTTTAAAGCAGGGGGACTGGCTGACACTTTCTCTAGCTGAACTGTTGATAATCTCGAAGCCACATCAGCAACTTCATCACTACTACTTTCCTGTACAATTCAAAAGCATTATTAGCACTATAGATGCAAATACAGAAGGCTGGGCAAATGTTGAGGGTAACATTCTCCATGAAAAAATATCATTCACAGAACAGTCACCGTTGCTCTTCCAATGCTCTGTGCTTGAATAGGTGAGGTTGATCTGCCATTATGCTTGGTAGCTGGGGGAAGATTGGAGGAAACACTGTTCACTTCCTCTGTAAGCTCTGTTATTGAATTTTGTATTGCTGGGGCAACATCCTTCAGTTGATTGATGAGCACCTACATGCCACAAATTTTAATATGAGAAAAATCTTGAAATACAGTGACCGTCCAGATTCATGCAAAACATATAGTAGAAAGTCTTGAATAGGTGAGGTTGATCTGCCATTATGCTTGGTAGCTGGGGGAAGATTGGAGGAAACACTGTTCACTTCCTCTGTAAGCTCTGTTATTGAATTTTGTATTGCTGGGGCAACATCCTTCAGTTGATTGATGAGCACCTACATGCCACAAATTTTACAACAATGATAGAGACCACTAATTTTGAAGCTCTAAAAAGACCACTAATGACATGGCACTCAATAAAATAAAATAAAAATATAACACCAAAGCCAAAACATCAAATCATTCCTGGTGGGACCCACTGCCACATCATTAGTGATAGCACTAATTAGTGCTCTCACTCATTTTCCCAAATTTTAATATGAGAAAAATCTTGAAATACAGTGACCGTCCAGATTAATGCAAAACATATAGTAGAAAGTGTTTCAGATGCATTCAGCATACAACTCAGAACTATAAGAGCAACTAGAATAGAAATAAATGTATATTGTCAAAAATCCAGAGCAATCAACTTCATTCTCCAAGTAAATCAGTTAACTAACAGCGTAGTCAGGTAATTGGATAGAACCAGCAGAATTTGATGCACTTTCATTTCATGATTAACTGGCCCAAAAAATATGACTAACTGACTTTTCTGGAACAGAATGCTATTGGAAATAAAATTTCATTAAAAAATAAATTAACTTATTTTCAATGACAAAATGTCTCACCCAATCTGTTGCCATCTAATCATTCAAAAAGCATTCATCAATCACAAAACACCTATCCACTTCCCTTAACGCCAATTTCAACTTCCCCGACCCACTCACAAGGTAACTTCCATGGCCACTTTTCTATCCTGAATTAAATAAAACCACATGTCCCATTTATTCATTTTTAACTTCCAAGTTGGGTTTAAAGATTTTACACTGCTTTCTCTAACAACGTCCTCCTTTTGGCAAGCCATCAACCCTTTAGATAGTATATCTGCCAATTTAAGCACATTAAAAATCTTGCAAGGGTTGAACTCCAAATTAGATGCATGTAAAGCATGCAATTTCTTCTTCCAGTTTAAAATCGCAGCAACAATGAATATTTGTCAATCACTCACCCAAGTAAAAAAATGCAATTAGTTGAACTTTGAGACTGAAAACTTGCGGTTACAACTGCTAGAAAACACAATAGCACCAGTTGCCAAATATCAATGGAAGAAAATGGCAATCGTGAAATAAGAGTTGCCAACTTGAAACAATTTTTTTCCCATGAATGTAATAATAGAAGGGGTGACCATTGGTTCGATGGTAAAATCTTGGCCTAATAAACCTGGAGGTTATGGGTTCAAATTACGAGGCAACCACTTTGTGCACTATGCCAAAGGTTAGATGTGTACCCAATTTTTTCCCTCCCAAACACACATTAATGTGTACTAATTGAGCTTGTTTGAATGTAATAATAGAACATAAAGAAAGATGTATTATAATAACTATATTGAAATCATGCGCACAATTAAACAGAATAATAAAAAGAACAACGGAAAATGCCCATGACATTTAAAAAAATAAAATAAAATTCGCCCAATATCAAGCAGCAACTGAAAAATTGAAACTGCTCAAAGTTAGGCCTGGTTACCACATAAACTCAGGCTTTAAACAGAAAGTAATACTACCACCCCAACTCAAAATCAGAAATCGAATTTGTTTACCTGTATGCTAGCTAAGTGTTGCTGATGTTCAGTAAGAGTTGCTGCCAATGATTCAGCATGGCCACTAGTACTGCCATCATGTGCACTTCGAAGAAGCTCAGGACCCTCCCCATCATTAGCTTTTGCCTACAACACAAGTAGTGTAAAACAATATGATAACTGCCTCAGAGATGATGACCAAAGAATATATTAACCAAAAGATTTGTAAAAAGAAATGGACAACAAAATAGTCAGAAAGCAAGGAAAACTGAAAGCTGAAACTCAGCATAAGTAATTGCTTAGTCACAATCCAGAATGTCAAGTATAGTATATTGCAAGATTAATTTTCTAATTAGTACAACATGATTTGGTTAATGGACAGCTACAGTTTTAGGTTTATAAAAAATGAAAATTACCTATGAAAGCCTTTTCAACAAGAAACATATACAGTGACAACCTCCTTATAAATGATGTTTTCTTTAAAAATGAAGTTTGCAACAAAAAAAATTCTGCTGACAATTAAGCTTCATGGTAATACATGAGAAAACTATCAATGCATGAAAGATTATTCTGAATCAAAATGACCAATACTCTTCATGGAATCATGCAAAAATGAATGGTCTATGGAAAAACAAACGCCAATTGATGACAGGAATTCTAGGGCATGCACTTGTTCAAAAGAAAAATCAACAGAACTCTTCCTTGATCTGGCGAAATCACAAAAAGCACACATGGATAGATCACGTGAGGAAAAAAACTCTCTTATGACAAATTAATCATGTTGCATATTTGTAACCTAATCAGTAAGCAACCACTCTCTCTATGACAACGAGTGAAACAAAAGCAGTGTAATGTTGGTAAGGCATATTCATTTTCCTGGAAAATAATTAGGTAGGATATAACCAAAATCTCTCTCCCTCAGTCTCTCAGTCCAGCATGACATCAGGTCTCTACTTGAACCAGTTAACTCAACCTCCCCAACCCAGAGACAATTAGTCAAGTTCAATAATATCACAATTATGAGTAGTTTGAAATGTATCACATTTATTGATAGGATATATGGCTTTAGTTTTGAGCCACACAACAAAGAAGAAGTTAGCTATACCAAGGTTGTTAAAATCGGGATCCTACGTTGGATCGTTGGAGGTGTTTATAGAATCGGATCGTAGAATCGGATCGAGGATCGTAAGATCCTACCGAAAAAGACAAATTACATAATTATTTAATTTAAATAAATATTTCCTAAAAAGTATACACAAAATGAGCATATATTCTATTAAAAAAAATTGAAGATATTGTGAAAAATATAATACTCCATGTAATATGTACATATAATATTATATAATAGACAACTCAATGGTAAAAGTTTTGTATTTCATCAAAAAAGAAGGTGAAGAAGAAGAATTCTATAACAAAATACTTTACAATCTACAATAATGCATAAAAAGTGATGAAAAATATTTAACAAAGTTGGATATGAAAATTGTTAGAATTTCCCATCTTTACCTTCACCTACTCCACTACACACTCCACTTCACCTACCTCCACTTCACCACACACTCCACTTCACCTAACCCACTATCACCTCCACTACACCTACTACCACATTTTCTTCTATATATAGATTGTATAGGAATTGTAATTAATCTATCTTGTAACATATCAAGATATATCAATCAATAATATACATCAGTTTATTTTTTACAAAAATAGATTAAAAACTAAAAAGAGCAACTTAACCGAATGATAAGGTTTATCGTTAGCATCCCTGGTAGAGCGGATTCGAACAACAAAAATAATCTCTCCAAAAATTGGGATAAAGTTGCAATCATCTTACCCTCCTTAAACTCTGCTAAAACTAAGTTTGTTTTTCTGACTAGTTAATTTTCTTAAATTACCGCAATATTTGAATGTTTGTTTCCTAGTTTATTTTTTTTTGTCTATTTGATTCAATACTACTTAATTTTTATTATTTATTTTGACCACATAAATGGGTATTTAGACAATAAACATAAAATTTACAATAAAATATGTCATACAATACAAAACAAGGCTGGTAAATAGGACAGGATTCGGATCGGAATTCCACGATCCTATAAGATCCCATTACCAGGATCGAAAGATCCTACCTATAAGGATTTTTTTACACGATCCGGATCGATTATACTCAAATAGATTGTAAGATCGTAGAATCGTAAGATCCGGATCGGGATTCTGATAACCATGAGCTATACAGGACGAATCAAATGCTTTTCAAGACTACCAGACAAAGTATATCTCCATTGATAAGAATAGCGTACCAGCTGAAGGGACTGTTTATGAATACGTTGTAAGGCATGCGTCCAACGCCGGAGAATTTCTGCTATATCAACAGTGGGGTGAACTCTTCCACTTCTATCGTCCACTCGAGAAAATTTTTCATCATTTTGCATAGAAGAATCAAAACCATTGTTTGGCTTTTCTCTATTTACATTGGCATATGATCCATCTGTCTGTTCTTTGTCATCTAATAGATTACCAGGCTGGACGGTCAAAACATCTGCATAAGGTACCTGAGAACTTTGATCCATAGCTGCAACCAAAGCTGATCCAGAGATGCGGTACCTAAATTGGGAACAATATACATTACACAAGAACACAACATGTACATGGGCAAATGTCATCTGCAGAAGCACAAAATGATATAACACAGGAAATTACCTATGCTCCCGATGAGCTATCAGGTCCTCAATAGGGCCTGAGGCAAGAACTTCATGTTGACCTGCACATAGTCGTAGTAAATATCAATATCTATGAAGAAGATACTGCAGAAATGAAACAATTATAGCACCAATTGATCCTTCCCGTTGTATCGAAAAAAGAAAAAAAAAAAAAAGCACCAAAATTGAAGGAACACTTTTATGATGCTGATTTATCATCCGAGCAAAGGAAAAGGAGGGCTTGGTGGTGGTTATTCAGATCAGTGAGTGAAGAATGATTTCATGCTTGAATGCAAAAACAGTATGCAGTCAAGGTCATCCATTGATAAGTCACTAGATTAATTAGAGAAATTTGCAAGGTGGAAAGGAGGTGATGTCCAATTTAAAAGCAATTAGCCCGATGCAAGCAAGACAAGCACGAAGGCACACTATTCAACAAAGAAGCAAGTTCTTCATAGACATTGATGATTGTTGAAAGTGCAAAGGAAGTGACAAAATCATGCATACTGTTATTTTACACTAGTCTATCAAAATCAGTGTATAAAAGGAAAATACGCATATATATATGCACCAGAAATATACATTAGCATATTAGCAAAAAAACTTAGCTTGCATTGTAGATATTCAATTTTTCACGCAGCATCACTACATATGCAAGCTTCTCAGCATCTACGTAAATCTCATCCAGACATAGAGGTAAGAGTTGTAATAACAATAATTCATATATTGGTCACAAGTAGTTGATGTCTACAATTTCTGAAGATCACGAGATAAATTTGGCGAACTCAAGAAGGGTTTCGCAGCAAAACAGTAGACTTAAGTCACACATCGTTCAAATAATGGTAGAAAGTGGAGTCCATAACAAAGTTCATGGATTTATTAAATGAAGAATAAGTGTAATGCCAGACACATTGGGAACAAACAACAGCTATAAGGAAGACCTTTCCATGTCACAAACCAACCTATCAGTTTGAAAAAACATCTGAAACATCTTCTGACCCAGTGGAGATCTAAGTTACGCTTTTCAGCATTGAAGATATTACATTATTACAATGACATAGTGCTGCAAAAGAACGGAGCCAAGATGAATTTTGGGTGCTTCAGGCATCATTCGATCCTAAACAAAGGTGTTCAAGATCAACTTGTGCTTTTGACAAATTAACCCATCAATGTGACAAAAAGATCTGAAGATGAAGAAAAACAGACCTTATACTTTTCGCTTATCCTAATGCCATTCTTGTAACACAAAGACCAACCAACAATTGAAGATCTACTAGATATAAAATTTTAATCCTGCATGTGACTAGATGAATGATCACAATTGGGTGAGATGTCTCAGCAGTTGGGGCAGAAGTTCAATGACTTTGTTCTTCTCTTTATCATGAAATCCAATCTCAACAAATAAATAAAATATACTTCAAAGAAAAGAGGTCTGATGAGTCTGATTTTGTCTTCGAAACAAAAAAATTAAAAATAAATACAGAAAGGAAAAGGCCATTGAGAGATGGAGATGGGCTACACAGGGAGACAGAAACAAAGATGATTTGAGCAAACATCACACTAGCTATTCTGGAATCTCACCAATGCCTACAAGGGTACAACTCATCTCAAGAAAGCCTTATCCCATCAAAGGCCTGAAACATTATTATTTCAATCAAATATAGGAAGTATCTCATAAGTTATCACCCCAAAAAAAATGGAAACTTACATGTAAGTCATAATAAATGGACTTATTGTCTAATAGGTCCTATGATAATTAATGACGTTTTTCATCAAACACTATTAAAAAACGTCACTAATTGTTAATTTTCAGCGACAGTTTGAAGATTGTCACAAAAAATGTCACTAATTATAAATTTTAGCGACAATTTAAAAAAATAATCATAAAAAAAAGTTATTAATTTTCAATTTTCAATGACAATTTGAAAAATTCGTCACAGAAAAATGTTACTAATTGTAAATTTTAGCAACAATTTATAAAAATTGTGATAAAAAACAGTCACTAATTGTCAATTTTTAGCAACATCTGCAAAAAAAATAGTGACAAAAAAATATTTTTAATGACAACATTACTAAAACTTATTTTCAATAGGAGTTGATGGGCGGTCTCGTTTGGCAAGTGACTTTTTTAGTCAAAAAGTCAAAAAGACAAAAAAAAACCAAAAATCCAACAACCTATACTAAAAAGTCAAAGATTCCCTTCTCTCTACTTTTTGCACATCTTTTCGTAAAAAATCAAAAAGTCACCCAAACATACTAATTTTTTTTACATAATATTTTAGCCAAAAAGCCAAAAAGTTACTAAAAAAACCTGTTCCCAAATGAGGATGTCCAACTATTAGGACTTATTGGTAGTGTATCCCAAAAAAAAATTCCAACCAAGCTACATGCTACAAAAGCACTACAGGCATTACAAAGAGATCTATAAGATTTTTGTACTTACTCTTTCGAGCTAATAAAGAATCCCATAAGCGAGTGGCTCTTTGAACTAAATGAGAATTATGACTTGAGCTAGATACAAGTTCATCCCACAGTTCCCCTTCCAACTTTACTTTGTTTCTCAAGTCATGTAGCTTTTCCAGTTCTTGCTGCAAATAAGCCTGAGTTCCAGGAATCCAAAGCAAAGTGTAAGCAAAATTAAAGCCCTATAAAAAGATAAAGACATCTAGTAATCATAAAACCCAAAATTAATGTGAATGAGTTTCCCTTCTACCTCTTCAGCACAAAGACCACGGAATTCTGCTGTCATTTCATGAGCCAAATTTGACCACATAGCCTGTCTTTGGACTGCTGTCTCAGCATTTTGCAGAAACCTCCTCCGTTCAAGTGCTATTCTAGCCTGTAAAGTCATACAAAGCTCAAGTCAGAAGAAATAAAAATCAAATAAAGTCATTTTTTGACAGAAGCTGAAAAAATATATGGGCATGTCCCTATGTATGTGGTGCCACATTGATTTTCTTCCTCAGTGCTTAACAGTAAAGTAACATGCAGCCTTTGGGGGGAAGCCTAAGCTGCCTTATATGAACCAATGCACTCCTATTAAGGGTTGCCAAGGTACACCAACATCAAATCTTGAAGTTGAATCACTTATTTTTTCACAAAAACAATTCTATTAATGAAAAGTGAAAACCAATTAGCAAGAATAACTCTTGATATTAACTATCTTTCCACACACACACACAAACAAACAAACAAACAAAAAGGTTTTACCGTCTACATATCTCATATCAATACCATGTTTTTTTATTATATTACAGTCTCTTTGAAAGTGACCGTATCAAACAACTGATTAATAGTAATAATAAGAATAAGAACTACCTTTGTTACAGGAAGTAGCGTAGCTGCATGCGAGAAAGCTACATCTGTCAATGAAGCAGGAAGCGGGTTAGAAGCAACATCAGCTGCAAATGTTCGTCTATGAACCTCCCGCAAAGCATGCAAAGAAAGTTGCCACAAGAGTTCAACAAATCTGCAGTCCAGATATGATATTATCAACTTCAACTGCAATAAACATCATACGATGCATGTTTTTTCATGAAAGGGGAAGTGAAAATGGTAGTCTCTCATGTCTTCCTTATTGTATTTACTCTAGTCCAACATGTTGTTGGTAATTCTAGGTAATTCTAGGTTTTTCTGGACATTGACTGTAGTCCATAGTAAATATCAATCAACTGTATTATGAGACAAGCTATGTATGAAGGTTTCATGTAGTCTACACTGGATTTAGAATAGTCTTGGCATTTGAAGGGCCATACTTTGGAATTTTAGAAGTCTGAAAAGGCAAAAACCCATAAATTATGAGTATCCATATAATCTTTTTTCCCATAAACAAAGATTATTTGTCTCAACCTAACCTTGAGGGTGATTCCATCATAATTCTTCTTCCATCCACGGAACTCATAAAATATATATATTAAAGATAAATAAATAAATAACTATTTACAGCCCTTAAACCCCCTTTCTTCCTCCAGATTTTGGCCCCCTAGTTCAACCCAGAAACCATAAGGTAGTTTGCTATCCAAACTTCCAACAGCCATAAATCTTAAAATTCAGAGACCTCACTCTTTCGAAATCAAGCAATTCCAGCCAATCCCTAAAACCTAAAACATTGTTCCTATAGTCCTGTCTTATTAAACCATAACCCAACCAGCTTCCCATAACCTCAACCAGCCAAAAACCCCAATTTTGAGAAGCATTTTCCTAAAGCTCCTAACCAGTTCTGCATCAGAAAGCCTCTGTCCGCTTGCTAACACACATTCTACATACCACAATTCCAAAATTGATCAATTCATCAACATAGTTATTATAGAGACAAGCCCGAATGGCAATTTACAACTAATAAAAACAATAGAATACAATACATCTTGAATGATCGTCAGTATAACACAACGGTTCCAAGATAGCCCACATTGATTGAAGAAATAAAATAACCACACAATAAACATGTCCATCAACCCACCTCGGTCCACAACACGTAGCGAGCGACGAAACCCTTGAATTGCTCCTAGGTAGTGCCCCTTGCGATTCAAGCTCACTGATTATACTTTGCACAACCTAACAAACACAAACAATCAAACAAATTGATAGTAAATCAAATAACATAGACTCAACATCTATATATGGTAAATCAAGCCAGTTTTGATGCGAATCAAATAAAATTACCTTCCGAAAGTCGCGCGACTGCGCAGAATCGAAAATTGGCCAAACTTTATCGAAGTCCTGGAAGATCTCAGTGTTAGAAAATTGAACATAACAGATCGATATCAAATCAAAAGTAAATTCAGGCAAGATACACACACACACACATATAGAGAGAGAGAGAGAGAGAGAGAGTACTTTTGCGGATTGCACTGGACCTCGAAGAGAAGACAAGATGAAGTAGAGAAGCTGTTCGCCCAATTTAGGGTTTGAATGGCGGAAGAGACCGACCCGAGGGGTGCCGGTGTTGGCTCCGATGCCGATGATCGATGGATCGAGCCCTAACAACAAACAGTTAGTGTACATTGCACTCTCTAGCTCTATCTCTCTCTCCTTTTCTCTGTCCATCGTCATCACCTTCTCACTTCCCCCCTCTCTCTCTATCTAGATTTCCTCTCTTTCTGCCTCTGTTTCTCTCTCTACATCTGTAATTTTGCTCCCTCTCTCTCTTCTCGGCTTTCCCTCAGTGTTTTTGGTTGGTTTTTTATTTTAATTTGCTTAAAATGTTACGTTGTAATTTTCAAATACAGGTCCCTGGAAAATTGCTTAATTACGTAAAGAGCGTGATTTAGGGTAGAAGTTTCAACGTTTGGGTGCGATTGGATATTTTTGGGATGGAAAGGGGGTTTCTTTTTGAATTTTTTTAAAGTTTGTGGGGTGGGGCCCAAGAACCCCAGGGATAAAGGAATCACGATTTGAGTCGATTGGGGGAATTTTGAAATGGGAGAAGAGGGGACGCCTCTAACGTGCGCCGGTGACCTGTTGGTGTACTGTTTGTTGCCGGCCAACTTCGCGGATGGGATGTGATTCCTTGCTTCGCATGCCCATCAAGCCTGTTCTTCGTACCCTCAAATCAAATCACTCTGGCCATTTTGTTTAACCCAATGGTGACTCTAAACTCAACACTAATGAAGTAAAAAAGTTAAAAATAATAAAAAAAAAGAACAAACACACCACGTACTATGACAATGGGTCACATCATTAGTGGTAGTTCTAATTAGAGTTTTCACTTATTTTCCTTATTTAATCCTACAAGGAAAGAGCCTGAACTAAGGGGTTATTTGAAGTGTCCTAAATAAATGTATTTTTTATTTTTTTGAACTAAAAAGTTGAGGAAAAAAATATGGTTGCTTTGGTTAATTTTTTGACTTTTTATGAAAAAATGTGTATTAAAAAATTATATAAATTAGTGTATAGGGGAAAATTAAAATTGGGAGTCGTGCAATTGTAATTTTTTACTTTTGGTGAATAGTGATAACTTTTAACTTTTTGAGTAATTTTTTGACTTTTTGACTTTTTGACAACTTTCCAAACTTGGCCTAAGAGCATCCCCATCAATTTATTTAAATTTTATTTTAAAATATTATTAAAATATTTATATCTTATTTTAAAAATTACTTTTTTATTTATTTTTCCCATCAGACTTTCTATTATTTTCTTAAAATATTATTAAAATATTTTTTTTCCTATTTTTCACCTTTTTCATCTTCTTCTTAGAATTTTTTTTCCTATTTTTCACCTTTTTCATCTTCTTCTTAGAATAAGGCCAAGTTTGGCATATTGTAAAAAAATTAAAAAATTACTCAAAAAGTTAACACTATTCACCAAAAGTCAACAATTACGGCTACACAACTCTCAATCCTAATTTTTCTCCACAAATCAATTTTTACAATTTTTTATTACATATTTTTCCATAAAAAGTCAAAAAATTAACCTAAACATCCATATTTTCTTCTTCAATTTTTTAGTCCAAAAAAACAAAAAGTTATTTAAGACACCCCAAACAACCCTAACAGCTATGGAATGATCATAGAAAAATGATCTAAACAGATTCACAACTATGGAATGATCACAGAAAAATCTACTAATTTAGAGCTCTACTTTCTGTAGAACAAATTAAACACCTGCCATTGCCAGAAGAACAGATTGAAGCAACTCCTCAATCCTTACAAGTATCTAAAAGCAACCCAACAGAGGGTATAGTGTCGGCTGTCATGCCAAATTAGAATACTTGGATGCAAGCACAAGCATAAACTCTTTTTCCATGGGTGTGTGGAGGTTTAGAAGTGGAGAGAAGAGAGAGAGAGTACACTTTGCAAAATCATATTGAAAGATGTAAAATATTAAGGCTAGGAATTAGTAAGATCTATTTTTTTGCACGCAACACATAGTTAAGGTCGACCGATCACATGTCTAGGAGGTCGACCGGCCAGACATTCGGGTGGATAACCGGCGAAACAAGTTTTGCCCAGATCACTCATACCACTGTCAGATATGAGTTGCAGATATTAATTTAGGATGGTTTATAAGGGAGCTAATGGGGTTTTATAAAGGAAGCTTCAACCCTTAAAATAGGTAAGGAAATGATTTAGGGGTTCTACTGCAGATGCTCTAAGATGGCTGTTAAGCCATATTTGTTTCGCGGTTTTAGTGGTTGAATTGGATTGTTATGGTTGTGCGTCTCATTTATAGCATATTTGGTAGTGAAATGAAATGGCGGGTTAATAGTCCAATGGGCTTAGTAATCCCCCCTCAATAGGAGATTAGTTTGGCTGAGTTTTTTGTGGGATTAGAAAAATAATAAGGGGAGTAAGTTTATTTTATATAAAAAAAATTAATTTTAATTTTTTTTACCAAGTGCACATGTTTGTTTTAATATTTGTTTTATTTTTTTAATATAAAAATAAATTATTTATTCATTTTATATAAAAATAATTTAATAGTCCTATCACTAATCATCTCTCATACTATTATCAAAATAAAAACACTTTTACTTATCTCCTCACTAACAATCCTCATATTAACAATTTCTTCGCTAACCACCCTCTCACCAACAATCTCATCCAACCTAATATGCTAAACAAACATGAGCTTAAATCCATAATCCCATGTTTGATTCACTTTTAGAGCTCCTAGACTAGCACTCCAAAGCCACGTTTATTTGGCGGATTAAGTTGTATGAGATTGTTAATGAGAGTATGGTTAGTGAAAATATTGTTAATGTGGAGATTGTTAGTGAGAAGATTAAGTAAAAATGTGTTTATTTTGATGATAGTATAGGATATGGCTAATAATGAGATCGGTAGCTTATTTTTATATAAAATAAATAAATAAAATATTTTTATATTAACAAATATTAAAACAAACCGGTGCACTTGATAAAAAAAAATAAATTTTTTATATAAAATAGACTCAATCCCCTCACTATTTTCCTAATCCCACATAAAATTCACCCAAACTAATCCCTTAGAGAAGGGGATTACTAAGCCCTCCACACTAACAATCTCCTCTCCCAAATCAATACCAAACAAGCTGTGGGTGGGACCCACAGCCATGGTAATCCAATCCGGCCGCTCAAGCAGAGAAACAAACATGGCCTTAGTTTCCACTTTTGAATTATCAATTTTCAACTTGAGAAAAATTGCACCAAACAAATCATTTGCCCCTTGACTTTTTAATATATCTCAATCAACTCCAGGTTTTGAGTCAAGTTACAATTAGTGTACAAATTAACACATTAACTAAGACACAAGACATAAATGTGAGTTCTATTAATTAACATGGTCTCACTTAACGATGGTACTACAGGTACTAATTGGTACCAATTAATGTACCAACGTATGCTATGACATTGTCATTTTAAAACTATAACCCCACATATTATACAAATTACAAACACCCAAAACCTCTAAAATTATGCAACATCATCCATTAGTACAATAATCAGTATACCAATTAGTGCATATAGTATTATTCCTTACCTAATATTGTATCTTAGTGCATCACCTAATCTCCAGCACTTGCCAAAACTCTTTGGACCCCCCATTTTCTAATTTTTTTTATTACAATTATACCTTAAAGTAAAATTACATTAAAAGACATTATGAAATGGCACACCCACCTATCAATAATAACTAATACTCTATAATATTGGACACTCACCCACACGCCCACCCCCATCTCCAACTTCAACTATACGTATTCCATGTTTGTAAACCCTAAACCTATTACTTTTCATAACCAACTAACATAAATCCTAAATCTATTATTTTTCATAATCATCTTAAATCTTGAATGTGTCATCTTCATCACCATCATCAACGCTATTGAACTTGAAAGTTTTGCTTCAAGTATAACGTATACTTCATCACTTATTTCACTGTATAGAGCAATGGAAGACGAGGACAACATTCTTGGTCGTTTATCTGTCTTGTATTAACATTCTCGGTTGCTTTCAGTCGTTCCTGTTTCGTTCGAGCTGTTCAGTACTGGTTTGCTGACTGTTAGAATTATGTTCGGTAATACAGTACTGAACATAATCCTTTCATTCAATATATAGGTTCCGAACATTAATACAGATAGTCAGTTATGTAATTTTCTTTGTTAAACTAACTTAGAATGGAAAAAGTGAATTGGAATGGATTTAAGTTATGTATTTTGAAATGATTTAATGCATGTTACTTTAAATTGTGAATTGGAATGGATTCAAGTTATACAGTGATAAACAAATTTTGTTCGGACGTACAGTGCTGACAGGATCATTATTGTTCGACAAAACAGTTATGAACAAAATACATTTTTTCGGCTACACAGTGGTGAACAAATTGGGTGGGTGTACATTTCATTGTGAAAATATGGAGATTAGTTTTTTATTCTGAAAATATTATGGAGATTGGTTTTCCATATATATACATTATTTTCTATTCCTACAATTCATATCAATCTTCACTTTCTCATCTGAATTTCCCAATCAATGACAAATTCCAAAGAGACCCACGTCGTCAAAATCCCAATCGACGAAGAACGCCAACCCTACAAGTAAATACATTGTGTTTTCAGGAACCACTTTTTAGATGTGCTTAATGTTGGAGAGAAAAAAAAGAGAGAAAAGCTAGGATTTTGAAAGGGTTCTGAGAGAGAGAGAGAGAGAGAGAGAGAAAAGAAAGAGAAAAGAGAGAAAAATCTTCACTTTCTCATCTAAACAAAAGGGGTTTTGAGAGAGAGAGAGAAAAGACATCACTGATAAAGAGAGAGAGAGAGAAGAGAGGGAGGCAGAGAGTGGATGTGGCTGGGGGTGTGAATTGCATGCATTTATTTGTGGATTTAAGCTAAGGTTAATGTTGGAATAGATTCAGGTGGGTGTGCATTTCATTATGAAAATATTATGAATATGGGTAGATTTGGTAATAAGTGGGGTGTCTAAAAAAATATTATTAAAATTTAGGATTTAGGGCTGGGGTCCAAATAAATGGGGAGTCCAAAGAATTTTGGTAAGTGCTAACAGCAGTACTCTAAAAAAATTGTATAACTAATAGTGTGTATGGTATACCATTTTTAAAAATGTGTTTATTAGAATTTCCCTTAAGTTTTAATCAATTAGTTGTTTTTGGAATTGTTGCTTTAGTTGATTGTTTTATTTTTTAGGAAAATGACATGTACAAAAAATAGATAGAATAGATAGAATAATTA